AGGAAATGTAGACCTTTCTGAGAGAAATAAAGCATTTTGTATTTGTATAAGGTGATCGGTGCAGTGGCAGTGACCCTCAGATCTTTGCCATTTAAATCTCTGAGCGGCACTGCAACTGTTATGGACAGGCGTGTCGCTTACCACCAGGTGCACGACTTGCTCGTCCCGTCACTTGATATTATAAAAAAAAGAATATAAAAGGAAATGAAACTCACTTCACAGCAGCCAAATGATAGCACATCAAATTGTACACGTCCTTTTTCTGCACACTTTCAACCCTTACTTCTTGTATATTGCTATATCTTTCGTCCTCAGACTCGCTGGAATCTTCCGAGTCACTGGACTCGCCGGTTAAATCTTGTATAGTCAACGTCGGTAGTAAGCTGTCGTCATTAGATTTTACTTGTCTTTGTGGTGTTGTTTCTACGACGTCAGGTTTAGTTTTCCGTTTACTTTCTTCGTGTAATTCCTGTTTTAGAATCTCTGCTTCACTATTGTGATACGCGACTGTTTCTAGAAGGCGCTTTTTAAGCTGGACGAGAGTACGCGATTTGATGAGACCGCTGAAGAATAGCGGACCTACTGGGGGAGTTGATTCGAGCCTGCAATAAATACGTATTTGTTTAGTTACTATAATAATAAAACCTCGCAGGAATATATCACTAACACCATAAAAAACAATTTATATTCCATGGCTTTTAATAATTCATCACATTCACTTTCATACACCCTACGTAGGATTTTTAAAAATTAAAATAGATATCACTCTACCTTCTTATGCGATAGTATACAAAATTTTAGTCTTAGTGAATTTAATTTCATTTGTTTTTGGTAGTAATTTATGTCTTTGTAATTTATAACTTAGTTACATTACAAAATAAGCTAAGTGTTTGTGATGTGTACGCTATAAAGCCCGAATTTTGGCAAATACGGATGTGACATTTCTCATGTAAGTGAATTGTTGTTATAATTCTTATGAGAAATAAATATTTCTTAAACCTCATATAAAAATAAAAATATTCAACCTTATGACCGTCGTGGTCGCTTTAAAACGTCTTATATTGACTTGGCTGATACGTACGCCAATGACGGCTCAAAGCGTCAATAAATAATTTTCAAATTAAATTAATACAAAAATATTAAGATATTCCTCGTGTTTATGTATTTGTATATTCTAGTTAAGTATTTTCATAGCTGCATTTTATGTTCAGTTATGTTCTTCTTTGACTTAGGAGATTTTAATTAATATAAGGTGGAACTCATAACATGTCACACTATATAGGCTTGGTGTCTAGGGAAGAAACCAGTATTTGTCGGTAGCGCATCGGCATCGAGCATATAACCAGAAACAGAGACGAAATAAGGGCCATCCACCCCTGGCAACTCATCAGCTGTTCCATTCGATGGTGTGGGAAAATCAGCTAAATCATCTAATTACTAAAGAAACGAAATTACATTTCATCGGTAATTAAATATTAAATATGTAATTTTACAATTTCGTCCATTATAGCAAAGCTCAAGTTAAACTAGTCGATTTGAAGTGAAACAATTGACGACACCTGTCAATTGTTTCGTATCTGAAATTACAGGCACATGGGACTTGTCAACTTATGTCTCAGGGTGACAGGTGCAGTAGTAGTGCCCATCAGGTCTTTGCGGTGCAAGCTCTGAATGGTACTGTACCTGCTTTGGACAGACGTGTCGCTTACCATCAGGCTTGACATCATAAAAAAAAGAAAAATCCGGAAGGCAGGAAGGAGCCAGACAAAGATTTTTAGGAGATAGATAGTTAAGAAGTCCTACATAAAAATATAGATCAAAATTCGAGATCTTACATGCTGCAAGGCGGCCGTTGCAGGTACAAATACATGAAGAGTCTCCACAATGTCAAATGCGCCGGGTGTTGCAGTGGCGTGGACAACACAGCCGGTGCCGTGCGGTATATCACTAGCTCTTCAGATGATATGGTTGCACCCACGCTCTGGACAGAATAACAATTGAATATGGCAGTGGTCTACTGCTATTAAAATAATTGTAAAGATCGAACAAACTCAAAGTGAATAACGCTTCTATAATAAGATTCCGGTTGATATTCAAAATTTGCCATTCACGAGGTCTAAAAGTATAGTGAAACAAAAACTTTATACTAAAGGTTATTTATACGGCTTAGCTCTTTAGCTCTTGCAGGTGGTCGTGATCTATGATGTTATTTTTTATTTATTTCAAAGAAATTCTTTGAAATATTTATTTCAAAGAATTTCTTGCTCATTCTTCTCAGAGGAATCTGCCTTACGAATGAGCAGTAGAGTGTAATCAATGTGACAATTTCAAGTGTAATTTGTGTATCTATGAAATATATTAATAATATTTGACTTAGTTTGAAAGAAAAATTCCAACGATCCGGCTAATTTTTCCGGCCGCAAAATTTTCGTCTAGCGCGGGTTATCCAGCCGACACGAAGGAATTTTTCTTTGAATTTGTATCAATTATAACAATAAAGCTGAGGAGTATATTCACAAGGTGGTAAAAAAGTCACTGTCTATATATTTCTTTGCTGGATATCTTCCATTCCCACCGGCCGCGGGAATGGAAGGTGTCCGCGGCCGCCACCAATGAGAAGATTTGGTAGTCGGCGTAAGTCGGCAGTTTAGCAATGGCAACAGTTAGTTGTGTGAAGCGCGGCGGGAAATTAGCGTACCTACAGCTCCGGTGCCTATTTGGAAAATAGGGAGGATGCTGTACGTGTACCCGGGGCGGCTCAATTAAGGCACTAGCCTTACAGAGAACCGGATGAAGTCCGTGCAAACGTGCTGATCCGAGGTTAGGACCTGACTTAGAATTGTCCCTGTGCGGGTTCGCTCGCACAGGTCATAGTGCCCTTCTCGTATATCTTAAGAGTCGGTAGGGAGGGTCACTATAATCACAACTAATGTAGAAAGATATGGGGCTGTCTATTTTTTCCTGTGCATTCAGTAATACAACAAATTAGTGAAATGAAAAATAAAATATCCCAATTTTCTGTTTTTAAAATGTTAACTTTTCCCGATAATTAAATAAAACTCGAGCGACTGGCGCCGCCGTGTCCGGCACGACGATGCGACACGCGCATAAGCTAGTAGTCGTCGGTTGTTGTTCCCAGAAGTACGTATTTCATTGTTCATCGAGAGTATTACGAGTGATTCGTGTTTTAGCGAAAAAGGTCTTAACGAAGCTCGAAGACTGTATGAGATTGAGAACTTCACTCGTCTACGAACTCAGGGCTTGGTAGATTCAAGGGTCCTCAACGATGCGCAATTTTAGTGGTAAACCAACGCCTTCTCATGTACAATTTGTGCAAAGTATCGAAATTCATAAGTCCTAAAGCCACCGGCATTTGTCATCTATCAATCAGAGTTATATTATATGTTAAAGTTATGATAATATTCACCTTAGAATAATAACGCATCAACACAAGTGAGGCAAAAATCAAATTCATGTAGGCTAGTTTTAGTAGTAGGTTAATTTTCGGTTTTGTTGAATATTTATATAAAAATACAAGTTGAAACGTGTTACTTCCTTGTGGAATGTGATGTTAGTATCTATTTTATGTTTGTCTGACGTATTTTTACACTCATTTACCGCACATTTCGTCATTTTTAGCTAAAATTCTGGAGCTGTTCGCGATGCAAGTTGACCTTGAGCACTGAAAGCCCGCCCGCTCATATAGGCCCTTTGGGAGCGCTTCAATTTGCCTCACTTAGCGTGTGCGCGCTAGGTTTCTATGCGTTATTATTCTAAGATATTCACCTTAAGAGCATTGTCGACGTGTATCCGGTCCCCCGCAACTCTTTGCAGGTGCAACGCGTCGAGCAATCTGGCGCCGAGGTGCGTGCGAGACTCCCGCGCATCGTGCGCGGCTCGAAGCACGCACTCGCATATCAGCGGCGCGGCCGCCGCGTGGCGCAAGGCGTGCAAGATGTGCTCCTTGGCTTTATCTTCCTGTTAACCATTTTACACTTCAAGATATCACGCACACCGCCATTCAAAAATGTGACAAGACAAAATACGTAAATTTTCATTTTTGTTACGGGTGCGTGCAGATACATTACCTTTTTCTGCCGCCATTTAATGAGACCAAATAAATATACCTTCAATAATTACCCCACTTCTCTGTGAAAGAGTTCGTCCAAGGGAAGTAATGTCACCTTACCTTACCAATTTCTGCCACCAAGCAGTTATGTGAGCATTATCGCGTCCCGGTTTTGAAGAACAAGGGTGTTATTGTAGGCACACGGGACTTGTCAATCTCGGTAAAACAAATTTGAAACCTTTTTACAATGTGACACTCAACCTAAGTAATATAACTTTTAACGACGTATTTGGTAATTTTAGTTTGTACCGCAATATTTAAGTCAATTATTAATCATTATAAATATTAATATTGTTTCTTTTTTTGGTAAATTTAAGTGTTAATGAACAGAAAGTATGTAAGAAACGTTTACTTCCAAATTTGTTCAGTAAATTTGACCTTTCAATCTACTAAATCCTATCGTCATGTAACTACACCATCAAAGCCATTGACGTACAATTATATGGACGTCGGGTCCGCGCTAAAAAGTGTCCGCACTTGTAAGGCGCTAAAATCGTATACAGAGCGCCAAACTCCGCTTTAGTCTTCATTTGTTCGACTGACAGCGCGATACTGCGATGACATTACAATTTAAATTTCGAATAGGTTGACTTGGAACATTTTTTTCGTGGTTTTTGTATTAGACCCGTCGTCCATTTATTTGTAAGTCAATGATCGAAGCATTCCCTTTTCAATCCTTATTACTACATCATATTTCACACCACAACACTAATTCAAAAAATGTATTCGAAAAATCTTCAATATTTTTTAATAAATTGCAAGAATATTGTTTTTGTTAACTGCACCTGCACGAGAAGCAGCGCGAATGCGTCAAAGTGCGTCCACTCGCGGCAGCGCAGCAACGCTGTGTCTAGCATAAGCAACGCAGCCGGGAGAGGCACGCGCCACACGCAGTGCTGCCACGCAGATAATATCGCTGCGCGCGACCCGCTTGTACAACTGTAATTACCACATACCGTTGGTATATAATAAAACCACATGTTTGTTATAATAATTGATACAAAGACCGAACACTTAGAAAAAATTCCTTCGATCCGGCCGGATTCGAACCTACGTTTCCAAGCAAACCGTGTCAGACGCTTTGCCAACTAAGCCACGGAATGATCCAGCGGATCTCACGAATTGTTGTATGTGCTTGTTGTTGGATATTTGTATTTGGTTTTCAACTATTTGTAGCCGTAGCGCCATCTATGAAAAAGCATGTAAGTATTTCGTCACTGGGATAGGTAGCTTTACAGCTACCAGGCTTGGCTAGAGTTGTCGCTATTAACTGGACATAGTTATGCAAACAAGAACCAACCCACACCTCAAATGAAATTGAGTTGTGTATTTAGGTAGAACACTAGACGTGTCCTTTACCCGCTCACAATGGATCCATGTCATATGTACTGAAGTTCTGTAGGTCTTTATCGTTTTCATTACGAAAACTAGAACATGGTTCTCGTTAACTAAATAAAAAGATACATAATGTTTTCTATTTATTGCTATATAATATAATAGTTTCCCTATATCATTCTCAATACTGCACATAGCTCACATTGTTTGTCTCAAATAATTTATCTATTTATTTCTTCACACTGTTTTTATAAAAATCTAATTATCTCGAAAGTGACATTTTGTGTGGGTGGGTTCTAGTTTGCATAACTATGTCCAACTGTAATTAATTTTTTTTTAATGAATGTCAGAATGTTTCACCGATCGAAGTATTTTTTGGAAGTGTTCGATTTTGTATTAATAATTATAACCAAAAATTATCGAATTACGGCACTTTACTACGTACTTAGTAGCATCAATTTGCGAGAGCATCAGTCGCTGCAGCAGTTCCGAGCCAGGAACAGGCCCTCGGCCTAACGCTCGCTGGACTATCGTCGGTCCAGAACTTAGTAAAGTTGTGAATAATTCGTTGAATCTATGGAAAAAAATAAACACTTTGCAGTGTACCATTATTAGGGCGATAGTGGTGCAATAAGCCCGTTAACTCGATACATTTGTTGTAGAGTAGTTGGCAACATGTTAAATGTTACAAATAGAGGTAGCAATCTTTCTTTGAGTATTGTACCGGCGGACAGTTGGTAACGTACTATACGTATACAAATGATCATTTTAAATTTACAAAAGCAGCAGGCAAAAATGTAAACGGCCATCTTTTAATGATTGACCCTTCTTCTCTGAGACATAAAATAAATTAAATCAATAGATATTTTAATATGTTCTGAGTTACGCAAAAAATGTTTTATTTGTATAAATTTATTTAAAATATATACAATTAAAATAAAATTTTGATATTTATTTTTTATAACTCGATTTACTAAAATACTTTTTTATTTTAATTTACTAGAATATTTGTACACTAATATTATATTAATTATAATATAATTTGACCTGAAACCACGTTCAGACACGCAAGCAGACTCAAATCACATCTTTATTTCATATGTAAGCAAATTACAATTAGACTCTACTGCTCATTCGTAAGGCAGATTCCCCCTATACGAATGAGTAAGAAACTCTAGGGTTGGCTCTTTGTAAATATACATTTGAATATATTTATCATTCACAATATTTATTTCAAACATCTTCAGGGTCACTACCACGGATTTGTGTCACCCAAGCACGCAGAAGCTTTATTATAACAAAACCTATGACTGACTTGACATTGGCAAAATTCTTTAAGAGAAGCCAGAAACTTAAAAATAGAATAATAATAATCATAATAATAACGCACACATAGCCTCACACTAGGGAGTCGCGGGTGCCATGGACACACACATAATCAACCACAAATTACTCCCAAACTCACGAGAGAAACAGATGTAGGCCATACAAATATTTGTCCCGGCCCAGGAATCGAACCCGCGACCTCTGCGTGGCAGTCCAGGATGGTAACCATTCGGCCACGGAGCCAGTTTGAAATAGAATAGAACGTTTTTGTATAGTGACTACCTATAACTACCTACAACTATAGTTGTAAACCTCATGAATGGCAAATGTTGAATAACACCCGGAATGTTATATTATAGAAGCGTATAACATTGTTTCTTAAATGAATTTGTGACTTTGTGAAGACGACTGTCAAGAACCGCTAGTTTATTTTTATTTCAGTATTAATGTTATGCCTGTCACTGTTTTTCATAAAAAACTTACTATTCTCTTAACACAAATTACATTTTCATAAATCGACCCCTCCGACGTAAAGTATCGTATGTCGAAATTGCCAAGTTTACAGGGAAGCGTCTTAAAGTTCTGAATTCACTAAAACTAACATAACACGTGACTTTAGCATTTCTCAGTTTTGTTCGGCAAAGCTCATTACTCACATAGAGTATTATAAAATCCTAGATATCGGTTAGAAGATCTATGGTGATCACTCTTTCAGTGAATTCAGAACTTTAAAACGCACCCCTGTAAACTTGGCAATTTCGACATACGATACTTTACGTAGGAGGGGTCGAAATGTACTATGACGCTAGTGTAATGTTAATCTCTAAACTTATCTCTCAAAAACACTTTGTGGTCCAGATTGTAAATGGCCCTAATCGCACGTTTCTGCAGGAAAAAGATTCTATAAATATCGGCGGCATTACCCCAAAGCAAATCAGCGGATCCTCGAGACATTATCGAAATGAGACAGCGAATAGCCACTTACTTGGGTGTGAAAGAGATGGACTCAGGTGAATGCGCCATGACAAGCATAACGGGTGCGAGACAGTGTATTGCGTCGCGAGGCCGAGCTATTGCTATACGGCACAGAGCGGACACTCCTTCGGAACAAATCTGTTAAAACCACATTATCGTTTGTAAACATTCACTTCGGTAAAATACCTACTGAACACAAGTCTGAAGTCATCGAGTATATAACCAGAAATAGAGATGAAAATCGACAACTGCGCTCCGATTGGCCAGCCCGAATTAGAAACAATTGACGGGTGTCGTCAATTATTTCACTTCAAATCGACCAGTTTAACTTAAGCTTTGCCATAATGGATAAAAATGGAAAAATTACATATTTAACATTTAATTACGGAGGAAATATGATTCCGTTCGTTTTGTAATTAGATGTTTTGCTGTTTTTCCAACACCACCGAATGTAACAGAATATTTTTTGGAATATACGGAGACGTACACACAGATCAGTTGTTGGCGCTGTACTATTTCAGCTTTCTAATGTGTAATTTCAGTGCAAACGAGAGTTGATATTTAAAAGTGATATAAGGCCCATTTGCCTAACGAGTTGCCAGGGTTGGATGGTCCTTATTTCGTCTATATTTCTGGTTATATACTCGATGACGCTAGTATACTAAATAAACACCAAAACACATAATTCGTTCATCTAGAGAAGTACTGCTACCATACCTATTTCCAAAGCAGTAATGTGAGCAATTACTGCGTTCTGGTTTTGAACAGTAAAGGCGCTGGTGAACTTACATACTTTTAGAAATGTCCAGTTTGTTTCAGAAAATCATAATTTTTGCCCCAGGAACGCATTTAAAGTACCAATCTTGTGTATAAGATCATGGCAATTACCTACAATACTGTTCCATTGCGTTTATACCTTTAATGTTAGTAAATTAAGTTTTGTTTTCGTTTACCCGATTGTATGCACGGATAAACAAGGGGAAGCGGGGAGCGGGTTGTCGACCCCAACATCTAACAAATGTGAACATCGTCATACTTACTCATAGGCCAACGAGATACGAGACGATTTTTTTCCGGGCGCAGAGGGCTGGCAAAATACCCGACAGTTCTTGACGGCGCCGACACAAAATCGGTTATAGACAAGTGTGAGCTTCATATAAAATGCTCTGCCACTGGAACGTCCGATTAAAATCCGGGTCCGACAGCCGACAAGTGGGAACGGGCTCTTAGGCTACCACGGCTTTTTTAAAATATAATATAAAAATATTTCAAAATATGCTATAATGAATAATAAAATCCTTAATGACTTACCAAAGGCACGCAATGGCCCCAGGAGCTGGCCAACACGGCGTAAGCTGAACTGAATAAATCATTGGGCCCCGGGTCTGGTGGGGGGGCGTCCAAAGGCAAGTGCCAGCCGGTTCTATGAACTTTGAGACGACGTAGAATCTTCCATAGATACTCTGGAGTGGGGTAGATGTTTTGTTGGTACCGGCATAAGTAGGAACCGATTGTTAGCTGACTTTCCAGCGAAATTCCACTGTCAAGTAAAAAAAAAATGTATAGAAAATATAATTCATAATTAATAAGTCCTTAGGTTTACGTGGACCATGGAACTGTAGAAAGCCCTGAAGCGTGAAACACACTGAAAGCGGGTGCGGGTCGGGCGCATGTCGGAGCGGGGGCGCGGCGGGTGTAATTCCGTGTATTTCTAAGGACGACAACACAACAAGCGCGGGCACGGGACGGGTGCAGGTGGGGTCCCGCGCCTGCGCGTAGTGTGGAGTTTGCGTGTTTCACGCTTTACCGTTGGCGATTTAGATCCGAAAAAAGTTCAATATCTCTCTCTCTCCATCTCTCTAATCTCTCTCTCTCCATCTCTCTAATCTCTCCCTCTCTCTCTCTCTCTCTCTCTCTCTCCGTGTCTCTAATATCTTTCTTTATCTCTCGTCTCTCCCTCTCTCCCGTCTCTCTCTCTCTCTCTCTCTCCCGTCTCCCTGCTCTCTCTCTCCCGTCTCTCTCTCTCTCTCTCTCTCGTCTCTCTCTACGTCTCTCGTCTCTCTCTCCATCTCTCTTTCTCTCTACGTCTCGCTCTCCCCGTCTATCTCTATATCTTTGTCACTCTGTACTTATCTACCCATCCTAATATATATCTTTCTGTCAATGTTTTATCTTGTCTTTCTTGTGAGCAATTTGTTAGTATAGATTTTACGACTTTCGTGTTTACCATTAGTGATAATCATTTAATTTGTTAGAACTTACGAATGAGGAGTATAATCAAGCAGCAGCAATAGATGCTGCAACAGCCCCGGGCAGCGTTGCGACCAGTCGGTCAGAACTGCGGTAACCTCACCGGGGCTCGGCCGCCAGCGGTCCACGTATAACGGCCGGACTGATGACGGGTCCAAGAGCTCCACTGTGAAACGAGGACAACAACATGATGACTGATACATGGGGAACTCTTAGGGTGCGTAAAAATTACCCGCTGTTAATCGCGCTGCAGCCGCGCGGAGGTCGCGCTGAAACCGCGCGGCGGCCGCGCGACTGTCGCGCTGCTGAAGTGCGACCAAATTTTTAGTGAAGTTTTATCTTTCGACACAGTTGGATTCGACACGATGGATTCGGACGAAGAAACGTTACTTTCACTTATTTTGTTAAAATTGATAAAAAAAATTAAAAAGAATACTAGAACGTATTAATATAATCGACAAAGTATAATCGAGATTGTCGATCGACAATGAGACTTATAGACGTTTTCGAGTTGTTTGGGAGTGCTTATTGAGAATGTGGCATTCATTTCTAAAAATTTATTTTGTAATCTTTATGGGATTGGCATTTATATCTGAATACATGATGGCTCACACGACTTTTCTAAATGCAAGATGGCGGGCACGATTTCTCAAATAATGGCAAGTTGTGTATCGTTTTCGAGATATTTGGGGCTGCTCATTATGAATATAGCACTTATTTCTAAATCCAAGGTGGATTTATTGGATTTACAAATAAGTGCTATATTCGTAATGAGCACCCTTAAATATATCGAAAACGATACCCTACTTGCCATTATTTGAGAAATCTTGCCCGCCATCTTGCATTTAGAAATGCGAAAAGTCGTGTCTAATCATGTATTTAGATATAAATGCCATTTCCATAAGGATTACCTAAAATAAATTTTTGAAAATTCTTGCCAACCATCTTGGATTTAGAAATTAATTCCACATTCTCAATGAGCACTTCCAAACAACTCGAAACGTCTATAATTCTCGTTGTTGATCGACAATGTCGTAGGCACCTTTAGAATCCGTTCGTTACCTTTATTTTGTCAAAATAATCAAAATGAATACTACCATTAAATAGTTACAAAACTTGCCAACTTCTGTCTCAGGGTGACGGGCACAGCGGCAGTGCCCCTTAGATCTTTGCGACTTAAAGCTCTGAGTGGCATTGCAACTGTTATGGTCAGGCGTGTACCTTCCTATCAGGCGCACAACTGGTTACTTCCCTGTCCCCCCCTCCCTGAATAAAAGTACAAAAATTGTACACAATTTAAAATTTAAAAATTCAAATTATTAATTCAAAAATTATAAATTCAAAATTTAAATTTAAAACTATAGTGAAACAAAAGCTTTATACTAAAAATTATTTGAGGCCATCAGCGCAAAAGTGGGTTTTTTTTTTGTACAATATTACTTTAAATGACACAAAAGTACATATTTTATATTTGGATTATTTTTTGGTGTATAAAAAATATTTAATTATTAATTTCTTTTTATACATGAAAATAGCATCCAAATACAAAATAATTGTGTGCTTTAGTTATCATTTTAAATAACATTGTAGAAAAAAAATTAATGTAGTTTACACCACTTTTGCGCTCACACCTTCAGAGTATAATAAATGGATGACAAAAACGTTAATGATAGTGACCCGTTTAGCTCTTGCAGGTTATCTCGATCTTGATATTCGAAATAAATATTGTAAATGATAAATGTATACAAATGTTTATTTACAAAGAGCAACCCCTAGAGTTTCTTTCTCATTCTTCCCAGAGGTATCTTACGAAAAAGTAGTAGAGTTTGACGAATGTGACGGCTTCAAGTGTAATGTGCTTGCCTATGAAATAAAGATTATTTACGTCGTCTCCTTTCTTAGTGGGACTCTATCAGTCAGATCAATATCTAAAGTTACCAACATATGCATACCTTGATAGAGATCAGCCAGCATATGAAAGGCCATAGTGTGAAGATATGGATGAACAGCAAGCAGCCGTGGTAACAGTTCTCGTGCCGTTACATCACATAGCCCTTTGCACTGCACTGTCTTGCGCTTGATGCCCGTCTGAAAATAATATTTTGCTTTTTTTAACCGACTTCAAAAAAAGAAGGTTCTCATTCCGACTGCATTTTTTTACGTATGTTATACGATTCCTTCGGTATTCGTGAACTGATTTTGATGATTCTTTTTCTGGTGGAAAGAGGGTACCTCAGTATTGGTCCCATTTAAATTTTAAGAAAATATTGCACCTCTAAGGGTGGCAAACTAGGGGTTGAAACGTATTTCAATCAATCTTGGCAAATTGATGTGATTCCACGAACTTTTGAGGTCGGTTTTTTATTATAAAAAAGATATTACAATAATAATAAAACGCTGTATGAGCGGGCGTTTGTTATTTATTTATTTAATTGCGCAATGGATGAAATCGCAAAGAATTGTATCTTGTACAAAGACCCTGTATAGCCGCATTTTTGTAACGCAATTGTACACAGCATAATGAACTCAATGTGAATTGTGTAACATACAAACTAGATAAGGTACGGTACGTACCTAATATAGAAAACAAAACTATTTCTTCAAAATATAAATTTTTCCATAACGTAACACTTATCTGATACTACTCTAATGTTAAAAATAAAACAATGAATCTATTAGTTTTTCTTAAAAAATACTAAATATTATATTCTATCAGCTAGTGCCCGCGACTTTGTCTGCATAGAATAAGTAGTTCGAGCAACTTACTATACTATATTAATTTTCATTTTTTTTTTAAATTTAAATGAACCCTATTTTACCTTGAGGCGTGATTAGTCAAAAACGCTGAATATAACATTGTTTATTTCGTACAAAAGGCATAAACATGAATTTTAAAATCCCTTACTCGAGAAATGAATGGTTCACCATACAAACCTGAAGGTTGGGATGAATCCCCTATCCCACTTTATCCTTTAAGATTTATTTTGGTGACAAAATGTAGCCTATGTTCTTCTTCTTGGTCCCATTTATCACTACACTAATTTATCAAAATTGGTTCAGAGCTTTAGGAGTGTTATTTAGAACACCACGACCTCAGCTCTGGTGTCATATCTAGCGTGCGCTCGCAAAGGGTGGAAGTGACCCAATCTATACCACAAGGAAGTGTGATCGGGTGTATATTATTCCTGATATATATTAATGATTTACCCAAGGCCTTGAACGTCACAAACATTTTATTTGCAGACGACTTGTCGGTGGTTTTTCCATGTTCAATGGAATCAGATGTAAGCGAACGCATAAATAATATTCTTAACGATATAAATAGCTGGCTTACGGATCACAACCTAGTTATAAATTACACAAAAACCAAAATAATACAATTTAGACCACACCAGAAAACTCCGTTACATATAAATTTTCAAATCAACAATATTCCGATAGAAACAGTAAATAAGTTTAATTTGCTAGGGATAAATATCGACACAAATCTAAATTGGAAACAACACGTACAAAATATATCAAGCAAACTCAGTAGATTTACATATGCATTATTACAATTAAAGAAAACCACCGACACAAGTACAGCAAAAACAACCTACTATGCTTATGCTCATGCTTGGATGAGCTATGGTATCATCTTGTGGGGAAATAGCACAGATGCCTTGAAGTTATTCATTTTACAGAAAAAATGTATTAGAATACTAGTGAATATCGACCCGAAGGAAAGTTGTAAACCGTACTTCATAAAATTAAAAATTCTGACAATACCGTCTTTATACATTTTAGAAATGTGTAAATTTGTTAAAAAAAATTATCAATATTTCACTAAAGTAAAGGACACGTACACCCGACCATTGAACCTCAGGTTAAAAATAGATTGGCACTACCTAGGTCGAAATTACAAATGTATAATCAAGGACCCTATGTAATGGCCATTAAAGTTTACAACAAAATTCCAAAGGAGATTTCATCACAAACTAAATATAATTTATTCATCAAGCAACTTAAGGCTCATTTGATAGAAAAATGTTACTATAGCTTGAAACAATATTTTGAAGAATGATTGTAACAATTTAATCCCATTTGCACCTATTGAGAGGAAGAAATTTGTGAAATGTCAGCTATATATTTTCGATTTACTTGCTGTTAATTTGATTTATAATCTAGTATTTAAAAGTAACTTTAGGTAATGTTTTTTTTTCTTTTCTTTAATTTAGAAAAGAAAAGATATTGTTTAAGTACATATGGTTAAATTGCGGCGCCCTAACAGGGTCATGTTGATACTACTTTAACTACTTTAATGATCTTAAATCATTTGTAACACATGAAAGCAATAAATACTTTGACTTTGACTTTGACTTTGACTCTGACTTTGACTTTGACTTTGCGCACGTATAATATTAGTTTAAATTAGAAGCTATTGGGTGGCAGACGAAACATTTATTCTTATTACAGCTCTCGATCTGGCAAGAATTCTTCTATCGAGTAGCAATTTTTAGAGGACAGCAATACATTAATTTGCTTTGAAATTTTTAAATCTTTTATTTGTATATTTAACATCAATTTCAGTACTCATGTAAAAATTGAGTAGTTTTTTCGTGGTACGCGCATTGTACGACGATGTCAGACTAACCTAGCTCTGTAGTCCACTACCTAGATCATCCGTACAATCAACCTAATTAACGTTCGAATAGATATAGACAGTTCTCATTCTTCCCGGAATGTTTTCAAAAATAACGTTCTCGAATAGCGTCTCCCTAGTGCGGGGCTATGTTGAGTGTGTGCGTTATTATTATTAAAGAAAGTTACACTGTTATCTGAGAGTATATGTACTACTGTTGATGTAGTAGTACCTTATCTATAAAAATAAAATGAACATAAATAAATTGACACTACTCAATCCCTTGAAGCACGAGTTGAAGACAACAATCTACGCTACCATGTTGTTTTTTGTTGTGTACAAATATTTTAATCTGTGACAGTTTATATTTAATATTAACAACACATTTATTAATAGACAGAGCACTAACTTGAAAAAGAAAGTCCAACACCATCCTAGCTAGCTCGTGATCCATGGTTCGATCTAGCGAAGCCTGGGCAGCGATGCGTGTGCGCTGCTCGCACGTTAACACTGGCAAGTCTATTAACAGGCCGTCAAGCCGCTTTGGCGTTACGTCTGGTGACAGAAAACAAAATTTTTGCGATATATTCCGGTGATATTACAATAGAATACAGTAAAATAATAGCGGTATATCGATTGTGAACTGGCAACAAGTACCATCTCAATTTTGACAACTTTACAGGATGAAGAAAAAACTTCTTTGCGTCATTTATATACCATCTGGTTTGTTAAATAAAAATAAGTAGTTTTGAAATATTTTTATTACACATGTTATTAAAAACAATGGAATTTCTTGCAACACTGCGGAGTATGAAATAGTATTAAAAAGTCTTTAGAAAATTGAGATAGTACTGGTTGCCAGTTCATAGTTGATATACCAGTCATTATACAGGTGACGTTATAATAACGACGCGTATGATGGTATATGGTGGATAAAAATGTACCTAAATAAAAATAGTTGATCGATGACTTTTTTTTATAATATCAACTGACGGGAGGGATAAGTCGTGCGCCTGGTGGTAAGCGACACGTCTATCCATAACAGTTGCAGTGTCACTCAGAGATTTAAATCGCAAAGAACTTTTTTTGCATTGCTACTGCGCCAGTCAGAGAGAGACGTAAGTTGACAAGTCCCATGTGCCTGTAACTTCACCAGCACCCTTCCAAACCGGAACGGAATAATGCTCACTAATGTCAATAATGTGTGCATTACTGCGTTTTGGTTCTAATTAAGTTTAAGTTAAGTGTTTTGTTGAATGTCAGAATATTTCACCGTCTTTATATTCAATTCTAGAAGACGTCGGTTCGAATTCGGCCGGATCGAAGGAATTTTTTCTAAGTGTTCGATATTTGTATTAATAATTACAACATACTAGTGGAGAAATTGCACAAAAAATTACTTTAAGTTTTAAAATTGAATTTAAGACGGAACGTATATATTTTCAAACAGTTGTGAAAAACTAAAACATGCTCCCCAGAAATTTTTCTTTTATTTTTTGTAAACAACACCGACAATATATTTATGTTATGTTGGTATAACATAATAGTACAACTACTTAGGTTCCTTACCATGTAATCCTGCTATAAGCGTAACACAGAAGTCCTTCGCAGAGTCTTGAGCTAATAAGGTCGTTGGCAATAAGTGCATCTGCTCCGAACCGCACAATGCCACTCCTGCCGCGAAACATGCTTCTAGTTCCGCTAATATCTTCTCTTCTAATACATTTGAGTAACTGAAAATGAAAGTAATTAATAATACAAAGTTCAAACACAAAGAAACAGACTCTAATAGCATTAAAAAAAAATAGTTATTCATTTTGTATGGAAAAATTTTATGAAATTTTTACAACTTCTGCTGTGCCGATTTTTTCGTCCCATACAATGAAATGATCGCTTTATGAAACTGAGTCGATCAGCTCTAAAAAAAATTTTAATCAATTTTATTCATTTTTATGGACAATTCACGCTTGACCAAAAATTGACTATGCCAATTTAAATTTTTCTTTTCATAAAAAAAAGACTTATTGGTTCTAAGACAGTCTCCTTGTATTTTCTATGGTTTCGGATGTCCCCATACCGTCCCTTTAAAAAAAACCTGCATATCGCACGTAAACCAAATACTGTCGTAACTCAACATTGTTGAATTGAGAAAACACAATTTGTTAACTTATGTCACAGGGTGACGGGCGCAGTGGCAGTGCCCCTCAGGCCATCTTTGCGATTTAAGCCTCTGATATTATGAAAAAAAAATCCATTTGTAAATGAGAATATCTGCCGCCATCAGTTAAAAGGGCGCACGTGACATTAAAAAAAATATTTGTTAGATGTGTATACTGCCATGATCTAAACAAAGGTCGATTTGCCACAATTTTTTTTCCTAAGTGGATAAGGTATGAAGTTACCGCAAAAGAAAAGTAGATATTTGTTAATTTCATTTCTTTTAACATTATTTTCTCGGTTTGAGTTTTTGTCACATGCGCCCTTTTAACTAACCGCGGCGACATATTGGATTCATTTTTTTTTCAAATCGTATTTTCTCTATTCTTCAATTTCGAGTTAAGACTGCATTTGATTTCGTGTGCGACATAATCATAGTAATTTCACAAAACATGAAATTAATATCACCAATTTTTAATAAAAAATCAATACGTATTACCTACATGTACTTAAACTCGATATAACGAAGTGTTATATCGAGTTTAAGACAATAATGACAGAAGTAACATTTTTAATTATAATAATATTTTAATATTAAATAACTTAATATTTTAATACAATTTTTAATTATATTAAAATATTAAGGTTTAGACAGGTACCACACGTTATTCTCTTAATAACCTCTTTTGTAATTTGTTTATATTTTTTTAATTAAAAAACTAAAAATACACATCATACTGAAGACTTGATTGTGCCTTTAAATTAAATTATTGAAGAGAAATTTAAATCTGAAATAAGATCTGGCAGTACGGCTACGCGTGAGTCCACATTTGTGATATTTTAACACAGCGGCACCGGACCCAGTGTCAAGTATGTACAAAACCGCGTAACATTGTAGCATGTGTGGATGCTAATTTTTGTACTGTCATGCTCCGATGTCACATATCACGACCCGATCCGTTGGAAGGCGGTTTTTTCGTGAGACGTCACGGAGTGTCTGTGCGTTGAAATGTCACAAATGTGCACCCACCTTAAGACGCCTTATTTATTAGTAGATCCATCGGTGCGTTTCCGTCATGTACTACCTTACCTCGAATGCAAATGTAGGGCGGCCAAAGCATGCAACGTATGACCAGCGAGTGCCTGCAACTTCGCATGTAGCTTAGTATAATGAGGATGTGCCAATAAAGCACGTTGTAAAGTATGTAGTAGGGTTCGAACGCCGCAACACGATTTGAGAACTCCGTATCCGCCTGAGGCGTCGCCCCACTCGAATTCGCGTGCTTGTTTTATATCCTGCAACAATTAATATGACCATTACTGCGTTCCGGTTTTGGAGGGTAAGGGTGCTGATGACATTACAGGCCGATGGGACTTGTCAATTCAGATCTTTGTGATATAAAGCTCTGAATGGTACTGCAACTTTTATGAACAGGCGTATCGCTTATGAGCACGACTCGCTCGTATCATAAAAAAAAAAGAAAAAAATTATCAGAGTTTTTGAAGTGATCAGAATAATGTGCCAGACAATCACAACAATTGCCTGGTGTCTAAAACTAGGCAATTTCCTGTTTAATGATACCAAGACTAGAATCAATTTCATACAATTCATTTCCAAAATTGGTCCTAACGGGAACCGAACCCGGGAGTTCATTATCCAACGCCCAAAGTGCAAACCGTTGAGCCGCCGAGGTCATCAAAACGATAATACACTGGAATATTTCAGTAGGGCTAGAACGACAGGAAGCGACTTGCGAGAGAGCGACATAGAAGCGCGAGATATTACTATTCTCTATGCGAAAACAGTATTATCTCGCGCCTTATGTCGCTCTCGCGCAAGTCGCGCCATATCGCGCAGTGAGAATGCCTACTGATGAAGTGAGACCCAAAATAGACATCTTGATGTATTTTGATCACAAGGAAAATGAGTTTTGATCCCAATAGTGTGTACAGTGATGGTACAGTTTCATAAAATTACTTACGAACTTAAACAGTATTTTATTATAATTATTGTATTAAACGCAATTAAGTAAAAACATATATTGCAAAATGTGATTTATTCCATGTTTTATCAACTTACAGCTTGAGTGTTCTAAACGTTTATTATCGTCCAAAATAGGAGATTACATTTAATAATTATTTGTTATGCAAGGCTGCAAAGTTGTTGTTTGACGTGAGAGCTTGAAGCTAAAATTGAACCACGTAGCAAGGGTTTCAAAGCACGAGACGCAAAACAACTTTGTTGCCGAACGAAACACACAACTTTTCACCTCCCTATAGTGAGGAAAATGATAGATGAAAGAAAAACAGTTGAACTATAAAACATCAGTTTTTTTTATATAAAAGAAAAAGTTTATCTTCGGATGCGTTCTGAATTTACACCTCATCAATTTTTATTCTTGCTTGTACTTTTATTTTGTGTCAATAAGTGATTATTGAAATTATTTTAGTTCTTTCACGAATTGAAATAATAATGTCAACCATAATAAGAATAAATTATACCAACGGATTTATATTGCATAAATATGACAAATCGCGTAGTTGAACGTGTCATTATCTTTTCTTTTCATCGAAAGAAAAAGTTAGGTGCACCACAGTCCATCGTCAAGTTCGAATTTCAAAAACCTTTACCACGCTAGCGTGCAAAAAAACACTTTTGCGCGCAGATTTCTAATCAGAAAGAAAGCCTTTCCGAAGTAATGAGGTGAAAAATGCACTTTCGTGCTCAGTTATAACCTTTGTTTATATTTTGGACACCTAATTATGATTTATACTATAGATCTTTATACTTACAGAATGCGTAAACAACAGCAGTCTCGCAACGAGATCTCGCAATGGGAAGATACGTAGCAATTGAAGTAGATCTCTCTCGCGCAACGTGCCTTCGCTCACTGCACTGCTGCCTCCGTGTTTGTCTAACTCCTCCCAACCACCTTCCGTATCTGTCAAATTAATTATTTTGTTAACTAAAAATTAAGCGCGCATTTGCCATCCATCTTACCTAATCACGGAATAACACACTAGTGGAACTGTGACGTGGGGGTTCCCTCCTAACCACTAGATAGATAAAATCTTCATTGACCACCACGATATATACATACACAGACACATGATAATACAGTAATATATTCTACTGATATCTTATACATAATATCATGGCAGTGACAAGGCGCTGACTCAGCATAAATGACGCGTCTGCCCGCGACGCTGGTGTTTTGCCAGGACCCTATAGGACAGTGACGCAGCTTGTACAAACAAAAATCGGGCGCCTAATGGTAAGCTACACGCCTGGCCATAACAGTTGCAATGCCATCCTGAGACATAAGTTGGCAAGTCTCATGTGACTGTAATTTCACCAGCACCCTTACCCTTCAAAACCCAACAGGAACACAGTAATGATGACACTACTGCTTGGCGGCAGGACTAGGTAAGGTGGCAGTACTTTTCTGGACGAATTCTTTCACAAGGAGCTTTACTGCTACTAAATATATCTATCACAGCCAACCATTGTTGTGCCTTATGCAAAAAAATATTTTGAGTGAATTATGGTTCATTGTTCTGTTTTGTGCTGTCAAAATAATAGCAATAACAAAAATGTATTCAGTGAAGGCGTTTTGTTTCATCAGCAAGTGTTATTTTCACTAAATTAAACATATCGCCCGGTTGCCGAAAATTTAAGATGTACACTGATTAACTATACGGTGTGAAAAAAAAAATTCTCACGATAGAAAAAAAACACAAACTTACCTCGAAATTTTGCAAGAAAACAGCTCTATTCAATAAGTACATACTTTACAAACTGTTTATAACTGCCTCTGTGGCCGAACGGTTACCATGCCGGACGGACACGCAGAGGTCCCAGGTTCGATTCCCGGGCCGGGAGAAATATTTGTATGGCCTACATTTATTTCTCTCATGAGTTTGGGTGTAACTTGTGTTGGTCTATGTGTGTGTCCATGGCACCCGCGACGCAGGGTTTCCCTAATGCGGGGCTATGTTGAGTGTGTGCGTTACATGTACCAAAGATTTTTTTATATCTACTGTACTAATTAAAACGCGCATACGATGTATATTTTTCAAATTGCTTTAATTTCGTTTGTAAAAAAATTAACTCTAAACAAAACCCGTGTCCCTGCCGCTGTGAAAATGAACCATATAAGTACGCGAAAAATTGGAAATCGAGGTAAGGTAGTATCAACTGTTAAGCAAAATTATACCTAACCGGCTGAATAATTCGGTAGGATTTGACGAGCTTTGTCCTTAATTGTAAAACAACAAGTCGATATGTGTATATATAACATAATATTTATTGTTGCATAGTCTCTAACCTTCGATACACTCGAAAGCAGGCTCAAGACGTGGCCTGGCCAACAGCAAGTCCAGCAACGCGATCGCTTGCGCAGCGGAAGTCCTGTCGCCGATGGAGAAATGCATCACACGCGCAGCCCACCTCACAGACCTGATTTGTCTAGTGATAAAAGAAGCTTCATTATAAGAGTTGTTAGTCGAGATAGGTTTTCGTTTTTCCACCTGATCGAATGTGAAGATGTGGATGGGAAAGGTACACGTTGGTGTAGAACAGCAGTCGTAACCTTTTCAATCGTATTGCCCCTATACTGTGTACAAAGAAAAGGGCTTCCTGACTTTAACAGGAATATATATTTTGGAAATATGTCTTTTTGTACGTAATCACAGTAACTTCTTTACTAATATATCTAATGTACACTCCGGACCGTCTTGTCCTCCCTAGAATAAAAATCACGATCTTTGACCGCAGCACCTATGTCCTATTGCTTATCACTTCGTAAAATTCTAATGTAGTAAGATAAGATACCTTTAATTCATAAAAGTAGCAATTATTGGTAATGCATACTTCTGGAAAATCTGCTCCCTTCATGCTGAACAAAGTGGCGACCAGCCACCCTGATATCAGAATGGCTGGTCAATTATTTTTTTAATTTCTCAGAATATAACAAAGGTAGCAATTATTTACAAAAGTTAGCAAACAGGTAGCAATTCTTGAATATACACTCAGTGCCAGATGCCACAGGCGACCAGCCATCCTGGCAGTCACTACCAATTTCTGCCATCAAGCAAATACGTGAACATTGGTGTGTTCCGGTTTTGAATGAAAAGGGTGAAGGTGAAATTACAGGCACATGGGACTTGTCAATTGATGTCTCACGGTGACGAGCAGAGGCAGTGCCCCTTAGATCTTTGTGTTTTATAAAACTATAGAGCTATTCATTTAGTGCTGCTACCGATTACTATGGACAAGCGTGTCGCTCACCACCACGTACGACTTGTTCCTCCCCTTTCTTGGTATCGTAAAAATAGTTATTTGTTATGCAAGGCTGCAAAGTTGTTGTTTAACGCGAGTGCTTGTATTGAAACCTGAGCAAGCTAAGATAGAAAAATAGATTCCTGAGCGTAGCGAGAGTTTAAAGACACGAGACGCAAAACAACTTTGCTGCCGAGCGAAACACAACTTTTCACCTCACTATAGCGAGGAAAATGGTAAATGAAAGAAAAACAGTTGTACTAGCGATGCGCGACTTTGAATGTTACTAATACTAATCATTCGAATGGGCAAATCATTCGCCAAAGTCGAATCCAAGCACAACCATTCGACTCGAGTCGAACGATCATTATATCGGAAGACCTCATTCATCATATCCATACCAAAATATCCCTGTCCCCGTCATATTTACAGTATTTACCATTATGTCAGAGAGGGCTAGGTGATCACGAGCAGAAATGCTCTATGGAATATATGGATTAGTACTACTAATTAGTAATGAATGATCATTCAAATCATTCGAATATGAAAATTAGTAGGTTACTGATTTGACATTCGAATGACAGGGTTAGCGATTACTAACGAGTCGAATAACGAAATCATTCACAATCGCGCATCGTTAAGTGGAACTACAAAACATCAGTATTTTTAATTAAAAGAAAAAAATTATCTTCGGGTGCGTTCTGAATTTACACCTCATGAATTTTTATTCTAGCGTGAAATTTTATTTTGTGTGATTAAGTGATCGTTGAAATTATTTTAGTTCTTCGACGAATTCAAATAATTTAATAAACACATTTAGTTATCATTAATGTCATTATGTTTCAGTTATGTCATTATGTTTTTTTTTCATCGAAAGAAAAAGTTAGGTGCACCACATTCCATGGCAAAGTTCGAATTTCAAAAATCTTTTCCACGCTGGCGCAACCGCTTTTGCGCGCAGATTTCTAATGATGAGAAAGCCTTTCCGAGCTAGTGAGGTGAAAAAACTATTTTAAGGTACCAAAGAACTAACAGTTTCTTTCCCTTTTACTAAAGCAGTAATTCGAAAAATTTACCTAATGCTATGTTTATAAGTACCTGAATAAATGATGTAACAAATGTAGAAGCTGTCGTAAATCCGACCCATGCAACCATGCTGCACTGAGTATAGTCGCCCACCGTTGCAGTGCAAAGGCCAATGCAGCAGGCGTAATATCACAAAGCCGCAACGCTTGTAATACAAGCGCCAGGGCTTCGCGTATTTCGTGTTTGTTACTTTGTATTGTTTCTAATATTAGTTCTTCGATCTGGAAGATAATCAAAGATGTTTATCGATTAAAATGTTTATAACTCAGAGTAAAATCCATTTCATTTAAGAGTCGATACTACCTCAGCTTGATTTAATTTTTTTCCGTACATTTCATTTTGCTTGAGTCGAGCGGCTGGGACTCTAATGGTACTATGTATATACATGTTCTATTTAGTTCAATTGATATTAAAGAAATCATTGGCACCTATATGTAAAGTACCTACAGAATACAGCGGTTTTCTTGTAAAATGTCGAGGTAAGTTTGTGTTTTTTTTTTCTATCGTGAAAATTTTCAGGAATCGTGTTTTCACACCGTTTAGTATATCAGTGCTTAGAATAATAACGCATAGAATGATAGTTTCATATCAAACGAACAGCCACAAGTGAGGCAAAAATCAAATTCATGTAGGCTAGTTTTAGTAGTAGGTTAATTTTCGGTTTTAGTGAATATTTATATAAAAATACAAATTGTAACGCGTTACTTCCTTATGGAATGTGATGTTAGTATCTATTTTATGTTTGTCTGAGGTATTTTTACACTCATTACATTTCGTCATTTTTAGTTAAAATTCTTGAGCTGTTCGCGGTGCAAGTTGACCTTGAGCACTGACGGCCCGCCCGCTCGTGTAGGCCCTTTGGGAGCGCTTCAATTTGCCTCACTTAGCGTGTGCGGATTCGGTTGCTATGCGTTATTATTCTAAGTATCAGTGTATATCCTCAAATTTTCTATACTATATTTTTTCAGTCATGTGATTGTTTCAACACTTTCATTGTTATGCGGAATCAACCAAAGCCATTTGAGGATGCATAGACTCTGAAGTCATATTTTTTTATTAACGACGGAAACACGATAAAAATGTTATTAAAACAAACAAGATTTTTGTTGCAATTATTAATACAAAGATCGAACACAAAACAATTCCTTCGAGCTGACAGGATTCGAACATGTGTCTGTTTGCCAAACTAGGGGACTTTTTTTTTTCTTTTTTTTATTGTGACTCGGCAAAATGACTGCACCGCGCCTGATGGAAAGTGCGAATACAGTTCAGAGATGAGAGTAACGGATGGAAAACATAAATATCTTCACTCCGTCACTATCATACATGGGACTACTATTAATACATGTTATAATATATAATAGTACAAGTGGCCCTAGTTTGAACTACACCCGCAGGTAGGTCAGAACGTTAGGAATTTTCCTTTATGAATAGAATAGAATAGATGAATAGATCTTTGTGAATAATTATAATATCAGGAAATATATCGCACCACTCATGGAAGAATGGCATAAGTGGAATTGCGTCAAAAACGTTTGTTGCTCCATTAGATACAGAAAAATATAACCCACATCCTCTCCAATTCTTGTAACTCCATCGACTAATATTGTAGATAGAGTTACAAGAATTGGATTTCGAAAGTTATTTATTTATTATATTCAAGTGGTATCTAGAGTTAAGTTTTCAATAGTGGCCTAGTACAAACCTGAGAATGTGCTAACAAAGCTGCGTGTTGATGATGGCAATATGAATCCTGCACATCTTGTAATAAGGACTTCAATTTCATCTTAGCAATAGGCAATCTCGCCCGTAACAATTCTGCATGCTCATAAGCAAATCTCCGCTGGACGTCCAAGCCGCAAGTGCATTTTGCTGACATAGTGGTATATCTTTTTTCGATTTTCCAAAGTGTGCTTCGTGACTTTTCTTCCTCTGCGAAACCACAAGACAGATGGGTGCGTTCTCTTTCCACTGCTCTTAGAGAGGATCTGTGAAGTTATGGTATTTTTAATAATATACACTTTACATGAACGTATGATAAATCACTAACTAGGCCACTATAATATGCTAGCTGATACAGTAAAGATAACATTGTTTAAGGCATTTTGTGGTTCAAATATACTAAATAATCGTACAATGCAGCTCCCGCGTTTTTGTATCGCCTCGAGCATGTTAGCAGAAGCGCGCGTCCGGCTTTGACGCGGTCTAGCGAAAGAAAAGTGCCTCGCTGTTGAACAGGATGCGCGTGAGCTGTAACGGCATCCTGAAAGCTATAGCTGATAGGCCTGATTGCCCGGTGATGTATAAACTCGCACAGGGGCCAATTTCATTGTCAGTTATTAAGTATTAATCTAGGATAAGCTCTACTAACATTAAAATGGACCTTAAATGTTGTCGGAAATAAATAAATAATAATTATTATTATCATGTCATTACTATAAATAGAAATATGCATATTAAATATTTAAAAAGGATTGTAGTTAATTACAATTTTGACGAGGATGACTCATTTATACCTCTTCTATGGGCTCTTATAATGGATCAATTTCCGTATAAGCTGGTTAAAACGAATATTGAAGTCGCATGATAGTCGCGACGCGCGCGATAAAATTGAAATAAGCGCGCGCTATTGGCTACCTAAATTAGATCTGATTGAGACAGCCAATAGCGCGCGCTTATTTCAAATTTATCGCGCGCGTCGCGACTATCTTGCGTAGCCATGCTACGGGGGCTGGTGACGACGATCCGAGGGCACTATATCATGTCTTATACAAGGAGGTTTCAACACTACATCTGCATGATGTCAGGTCAATGAAGTGTCCATAAAAATGACAAAAACAACCACATTCTCATTCACTATGGAACCTAAATAAGGTAATCGAACCAATTCTCAATGACAAGGCTATTTTACAGCTAAGTTTTTCCACAGAGGTTAAATAAGAATAACATTAGACTATAACCTTCGGTGGAACTGCCGCATAGCTGATACAGTAAATAAAGCCAGCATTTTAAGGCAGTGCAACGCTGGATTTTGAAAGTTGTCTGGTTACAGAGGCAATTCTTAGGTCTATAGTAACATTATGCCTCCGTTGTTTGGTGTGTTAAATCAACCAATGCGACACATAGGGCAGTTTACAGCGCACTGCATGCTTGCTGGCTATACAAGCCACCTCACCTTGAGCAGCCCTGAATGCCTTGCTTAATCTGACTGAAATGAAATGCCTACGATGAAAATAGGGGGTTTCATCGTACAGAAGGAGGCAAGAGCCAGCACGTAAATAAAATGCAGCTATATGCAGATATAATAGGCAGCTATGTCAAGGATGAAATCTTTCTAGGCTATACAAAACAGTAATAAGCAAAACATTAAGACATTTTACCAGGATTACGATTAACTACGACCAACTAGGAAGTACTGGAAACAGCTGGGTTCACTCTGTGCAAAGAAGCACAAGATGATGGGGCCGACGCTAAGGCCTTTATTGACCCAAACCCTTCAATTATTGACAATAACCCACAATTGAGATCATATACGCCCTGACGAAAGCGCATCCTCCAGAACTAAAGAAACACATCTCTAAAATAATTGGTTTCAAGAGAATGTTGAACACTCCAAAGCCATTATGAACTTCCAAAGGTCTAAACACTGTAGAGAATTTCTAACACTGCGCAGGAATGGCCACGAGACATTGTGGCTCGCTGAATAAACACTTATCGTTAAGCAAAAGTACGAACTGTACATTCTGTCACGAAGTAAATTTTTTAATGAGTAGTATGAAACTCACTTGTTGCCACTGCACCCGTCACCCTGAGACGTAAGTTGACAAGTCCCATGTGCCTGTAATTTTATCAGCATCTTCGCCCTTCCAAACCAAAATGCAGTAATGCTCACATTACTGTTGCAGGAATAGGAATGACGGCAGTTCTTCCCTGAACGAACTCTTTCATAAGGCGCTTTATTGCTACTATTTCATTTGGCTCTGAGGCATGTGATGTGTGATGTTGCAAAAAAAAATCAATAATGTCATTCTAATTGATGTTTTTTTTTATCAATAACCATCAAACTATCAATGTATCACCTATGGAGATCAATAAATGGTAAAATGTAATAACCCCACATTATTCCAATCTCCACAAATCAATCAATCAGTCAACCACAAAATCCCTGCAGTTTGGGGAATTCTCCACAAATTGGTGAGTTGCCATTTGTTGTGGATTCTAAGAAAAAAAAACTTATTAAATTTGACCAACTTCTGCTCTCCTGATTTTTTTCTTCCTATACAATGAAGTCATACTTTTAAGAAATTGAGTCTATTAGCATAAAAAAAATTGTCAATTTTATTCATTTTGCACGAAATATATTTCATGAAATTTGACCAACTTCAGCTGTCCCGATCTTCATCGTCCCGTACAACGAAATGATCCTTACATAAAATCGAGTTGATTAGCAATAAAAAAACTTTGATATTTTATTTATTTTTATGCACACTCACTCACAATTGTTTTCACAATAATCTCAGTACAGAGTACTAAAAAAACCGACCTCAAAAGTACGTGGAATTACATCTATTTGCCAAGTTTTATTCAATTATTTGACACAGGAGATAATAAAAATCGGTTCTCACTACTCAAAGTATATTGAAAGAGAAAAACGCCTTGAATTGGGGAATAGCAAAACCAATCATTAAAATAATTGCTCCTTAAATAAAATTTAGGCGCTATTTATAAAAATGAATGTTCATGCGTGATCAGCCACCCTTAGAGGTGGATGATATTATTCAAAATGAATTGGGACCACTATGGAGGTACCCTCTTTCCAACAAAAAAAGAATCATGAAAATCGGTTCACAAATACCGGAGTTATCGCGTAACATACATACAAAAAAAAAAGTTGAATTGGGAACCTCCTCCTTTTTTTGAAGTCGATTAAAAAAGGATTTAATAGTTCCTAAGACAGTTTCCCTGTATCTTTTATGGTTTTGGATTTCCCCATACTGCCCAATTTAAAAATAACTCTGTATACGTAACTCTATCGTGTTAAAATTGTAAGTTCATAATAATGTGCCAGGCAACTACACCCAAACAGGGAATTCCCTATACTATATAATTGTGAACAAAGTCCAATATGTAAACAAAGGAGACAACAGAGCAAAAACATATATTTCAATTGATAGTTTCCCGTTTTTTATGATAATAATAATAACAACGCAACACACTCATACCGCACTAGGGAAACCCTGTGTTGCGGGTGCCATGGACACACACATAGACAACCACAAATGACACTCAAAATCGCGAAAGAAATAAATGTAGGCCATACATATACTTCTCCCAGCCTGGGAATGGAACCCAGGACCTCTGCAAGGCAGTCCGGTATGGTAACTGTTCGGCCATGGAGGCAGTTTAATAATCATTTAGAAATTTTTTCAAGCCATAGTCTGATAAAACTTATAATTCACATTTTGCAATATATATTTTTACTTGATATTATTAATTATAATAAAAGACTAAGCTTAACAAACAATTTTACAACACTGGTAACACAATCGAGATCAAAAACATTTTTTGTGCTGCCAGTTTGTCATGTCATAGATGTCAGATAGAGATAGATAGATAGATTACTAGTTTATTTGCTGAATCACAGTACATTACAAACAAGCTTATGACATAGGTACAATGGTAATCATAAAGAAAAAGGCTAGTCTAGGTTTGCGGGTATGGTCTGGAGTATTATAAAGTATCAGGTGTAGAGTTGAGTGTACTGTGACAGCAAAAAGGGCCCGACTCAGCATTATGCCGCAGTTCAGTCGAACTACGACGCTGATGATTTTGCCAGGTCCTAAGGTGGGTCAATAAAAAAAATGTAACTCAGAATAGAGAATCGACACAGAGTTAGAATGTAAGGTGCGTAGGTATAAAATTAATTGTATAGGTGAATAAGTTATTACATAAGCTATAAAACGTGGACAAGTTAACTGGAAAAAAATAAAAAAAAGATGAAAGATCTAAATGTTTGAGTAAGTTGTGTGGTTGTATAATAATTGTAAATGAATGGGTGTTTTGCTTAAAGGTGTGTGTTTGTGTATAGGTATGTAAAAAATAAGTGGAGTGTATGAGTGGTTTATATATAACTATGCAACAAAGTATTTATGGCGGAGAAAATATTTTGTAGGCAGGTAGTGTAAAAGATATTGAGGGTTATTTGTGAATTTTGGTATTTGTATCAGACACACATCAAAATATTCTGTAGGAAGTTTTTAAGTGCAAATTTAAAAAAGTGAGTTGATGTCAGATTTCTTATGGGCAGTGGTATGTCATTCCATATTCTGGATGCGTTGTATTTGAAGCAGCTATAGAAAGCAGCTGTTTTATGTGTGGGAATAAACTCATTGCATGGGGGTATTCTGAAACAATACCCTGCACAAGCATTTTGCACACACTGAATTAATTTCTGGGATTTTTTAGTAATACAGAGCCCATACACGGTGATGCAGTACACCGTATGTCATTTGTGATTTGTTCTTGAACTGGAAAGATTTCTTGTCTTCATATTGCATTTCTTACATTATTGTTGTGTTGTTTAAGTTTTTGTTTGTTGTTAATATTTTGTAATAGATAATTAGAAAATGAAAACATTCCCCTTTTCCAATCCCACACAAAAGCAAACCCGCATCCACACTCTGATAATGACATTTCTTTGTTTACATTTTGGACACCTAATTTTTCTACATAAGCCAGAAAAAAGCCTGAAAATTAGATTACAGATATTATTATTGTAGACAGAAAACATACCTGAAAGTAGACAATAGATCAACCAATGGATGTTCTGGCCCACACACAGGTCCCGCTTCTACAATAGCTTCCTCTTTTTCACTCATTGCCTTTACCTCAGCAATTATTTCCCCTCCAAAAAGACTAATGGCCTCTTCCAGTGGTAAACATGGTGTTTTAATTTTAACAACATCTATACATTCCTGTTTAGGAGCTGTTTCTACAAAGACTGGTCTTTCTTCTAATAGGGGTGCCGATGGGGTTACAACTTCTTGAGGTATTTCAGTCTCTATTACATATTCTGATGGTACTATGTTTGTGTGCTTTGATTGAATTGCATCTAATGAGGCTTCATTTGTTTCTATTTCTTGTTTGGTTATATGACTTTCAGAATTTATATTAATGTTTGAAGATGATGGAGTGTTTTCTGTGTATCCCAGAACTTGGTTTCCGTTATTACTAAGTGTATCAGTCCTATAAGCCTCAATAGAAGTTCTTTCGACATATTCAATGGGAGTTTTTTGTTTAATTTCTGTAGCTTCACTTAGAATGGTATTTTGATCATTAACATCTTTTTCTTCTAAAATCGGCGGCTCTTCACGCTCTTTACTACTTCGAGACATGTGTTTCTCTTTGGACTTTTTCTTCTGCGAGCGGAATAAAAAATAATGTTATGTTTACTGCGCAAATGTACTATTTATACAAAAAGACAAAGGTGCTTGCAAAAGTGCATATAAACTTACCTCCCGCCGCTTTTCTTTGACCATAGTCGCCATTTCTTAACTTTTATTCTTACAGAGTACCAAACGTATTATTATAATGTTATTTAAGAAACAACACGCTTGAAGATAATATTTATTTTGCAATTTTTTTTATTTGAAATATCAGCTGGTACCTGTCAACTGTCACTGTCAAAAAGTAGATTTTTTTTTGGCTTGTACAGATTGGAGTTTCAGCCACTTGCATTTTTAGAAAATTTTCCGAATTTCATGCAGTGGAATTTTTTCCGGCAAATTTGAAAAATATTGGAAAAATATTTAACCTGTTATATTTTCTTATTTGACGTTGACAACTGTCAAAAGTTGAAGTTACTGAACCAAAAAGATTGAGCCATTAAAAGCGTTTTTTTCGCTGTTGTCCAATCCAATAATTTTACATCTCGTTTTTCTTTAATTTATTTTATAATTCACGGCAAATAAAACTTGAAAAGATGTTTCTAAACGTAGAACATAATATGAGCCTTCGAATTGTATTTTGTCAATGTTTTTCAATTTTACCATTTTTTCAAAAACGACGGAGCCATAGATACTAAAGTTGAAGTTGAGCCAGTAGGTAGCTTAGAGTTATTTGTTTTCCATACTCTAAGGGTAGGTAGGCAGGGAACCAACACAAATGTCACCATTATGGTGCGTCAATGGTACGGCGGCGAATACATTTTATGCCTGTCTTGAACGGGACGACACTCGTACCGCCTATAGATATAGAGTACCGTCGTATTCGAGGAACTGAGGGAGAGAGGACAAGTGGAAGAATTGTGGAGGTGTTCGCCGACATTGTAGTGGCGCACAAGGAGAAGGTACAGCGAGAGCGGGAACGAGAGCCCGATATCCCAATCCGTTGCAGACGAGTAGGTTGTCGGAAGATGGCCTCTAATCAACGTCCCCAATGGGGACTTTCCTGCGCGATAAAACGCGGTTAAGTGACAAAATAATATTTTGAGATATCATAAAAAACCGTAACCCAGTTTTAAAATATTGAAATTCTTTAATGATATTTCAGCTATGCATTGTCAGGGCACACCCCGGACACTATACAACGGTCGAAAATTATTTACCTACTACTACTACTACATATAGCACGGCGCTATCTGCACACACGCAAATGTGTGCGTGAAGTGGCAGGTTAACCATCACTTGCTCTTACTATTTATTACGTTACGTGGTCAGAGCGGCAATCTGTTATCTATAATTCAATTATAGAATCCTAATAATTACACATGTTCATTACACATTTATATCGATATAGTATTATATTTTTAATTAATTCTCTAACTGGAATAATATTGAAGATTTATTTAAAAAATTAAAAGCTCTTAAAATGTTACATTTTGGACAGGTACCTTTAAATAAGGTAACCAAAGAATTTGAAATTGTGTGTCCAAGTTTATCATTACCTAGTTAATAATTAGGTATATTCACTACGTAGTATTTTATTGGCAATACAAATTGAAAATTCGAGAAGCCTTCTCTAACTCACGAAGTTATGGCGTCTTATTATATTGATATAATAAATCTGTATTATATATTACTCTGCACTAAAGAAAGCAATAACTGAATGAATCTCAGACATAAGTTTTTTTACTTACTTCTTACATAGCACGATTCACGGCCATTATAAATAGTAACGTAACATGATGTTATATATTAACGTACAAATTTCGTAATGAAAAAATTAAAACTATATTCAAATATCAAAGCCGTCTTAAAACGGCTCGCCGACAGCCTTGTTCTCGTTCAGTAGAATGTGACGTCACGACGTGAGTCAATGTGGTGCGGTATATAAAGCTAGGGAGGTTCTCTGATCAGGGTAAGTTCCGATAAGCCGAACACGTTAACTAATTTTAACTGTTTTAAACATTGACCTACGTTTTAAAAGAGAATTTTGTGCCATAACTTTTTCTATTTAAAATGGATATTTGACCACTTGTCACTTAGCCACGTTTTAATTAGTGGGCTACAGAAATATATTTCGGGTGCGAAGGAATGGGGGCTCTAAAACCTATCAGAACATCACAGGGTTCGGAGACGGACGGCCGCCGAAGGGCCACAACACGGCACTGCGACGTCAGGGCCTGTCACGCAACAGAGGACAGTGAAACATCCCGGGGGTTTAGTGCGAGCGGGCTGCTCCCCACCAGGGTTCAGCTCACTATGGCGAGGAATCTGTTCAGATAGACTAGGTTCAGTAACAGGCACAGTGGTAGCGTTCCTCAGATGTTTGCGTAATAAATTCATTGAATACAATAAATTCTCGCATGGTTTAGTAAATGTCTAAAACGCCATAGAGATTCTTTTAGAAATCTATTTCACATTCAGTTCTCAACGTATATTTTAAATAAAAATAACTCATGTATTACAACAATTTATTTCCTTTTATTAATCTACTTAACAACTCAATTACTGATACTATATCCTACAAAAAGGCGGATCGTATAAACTAATTTAACGATATATCTACAGACGATCCCTTGGTTACTCAAGTACCCATTTATCATTAAAATGTTAACTAAAAATAAAAAAAATATTTACAAAAAAAGCAAATGAAAATACACACTCGGCCCCAAATCCCAAACCTCAATATGAACTATTTGAAAAATACTAACAACCTCTACTATGTTACTAACATCATAATAAAACAATTTTTGTTCCATGATTTACAACAAAACAATTTTATCAAAAACATACTTTTAAGTTTTTGTTGCTATCTGATACTTTTAGATCAAGTTATTTAGTAATGCCTCTCGCGTGCTGTCATTCACAAAAATAAATTTTGGCGGTGGGTGCTTTATTTTGCGACCGCACAGTGTTACCACCGTTTAGAGCGATATATTTTAAATATTTTTATTTTGGCACCCGACTAAAATTATTAAAAGGCATGGAACAAAAGTTGATGAGTTGTTCGACAACAAATGCTAGTAACACAGCCTAGTTCTGTGAGATTGTTAGTATGTTACAAATCAACTTGGAAAATTCTATTACGCCATACTAACCACAAAAACTCAGGTGGTCAAATAATTTAAAAAAAATCTAATTAAAAGAATGTTTATCGTAGAGTGAAGTAGAAAATATTAGTTTAACCTTTGATCTCTCCACATTGTTTACCTCCAAATACTGCATACTTTCAACTAGTCATTGTACTGCTAAGTATGTTGCATAAAAATGCTGAACAGCCAGCAGGGAGACAATATTTTTAAATAAAAAAATCAGTGTACGCATTTGAACTCCATCTCACCTGATGGAAAGTGACGACGAGGTCGACGATGGAACATGCACACCTAAATAATATAATTATTATTCCCTCGGCATGGTATTACAAAAAAGTAAAAACTTAATTCTTTGATTCCTCCATAGGGTCTTCATCCAGATATTGTATACTTTCATCTTCTTCATCATATTGTTCAGTTGCTTGTGTAACAATGAACAACGGTGATCTAGTTTTTCTAGGCACCGAGTTTGTAGTAAGATTCGCATTATGAGGTTGTGAGTTCATACTTTGCATTTTCGCTGTAAACATTATATTATCAATCTCATGCATAGCCAGGTCTCTCTGATGCTCATCAAGTCTTCTTAATTTATTTGTTAATAATCGAGTATATAATTCACATTCGTCTAGTTCTCCATTACTGATTGCATGTAGAGTTTCGCGTTTCTCCTCTGGCTTCCTTTTCAAATAAACAATTTTTTTTGTACTGACCTCACTGTTATTTGACATAGTGCTATGTGTACTCACATTGCCTAGGTATTGATGATCTTCTGTGATGTCTTTGAGTGATATGTTATTGTCGTCCTTCTGAAACAAACATAGTATTATACTATAATATTAAACATACTCGTAGTAGATGGTCGCTTGCGGATGCTGAGGAGTTTTAGTGCTGCCGCTCGGCAGGCGCATCGGAAGCAATTGTGGGGCGGTAAATAATAAAAACTGCCACGGAAATTAGATAGTGAACCCTAGTCCGAGAATACCCGGCTCACAGTCTTCCGTAATTTATCCATCCGTTTCACTGAAACCATCTTCTTAATGTTCTCATTTCCGCTGCATTAATACTGCTTACGTGCTTCTTCTGTCAAATTGAACATTCATTACCATACGTGAGTGCAGCAACCATCACCCTTCTGCACACAGTCAATCATATACCTTACTTTCTACTTTATTAACGACCACTCCATATATTTTTTTTATAATATCAAGTGACGGGACGAACAAGTCGTGCGTCTGATGATGAGCTACACGCCTGTCCATAACAGTTACAGTGCCAATCAGAGCTTTAAATTGCAAAGATCTGAGGGGCACTACCATTGCGCCCGTCACGTCACCCTGAGTTGACAAGTCCCATGTGCCTGTAACTTTTCTGTAAAGACGTCAATCAGCCTTAAGTTCGCGGATGATATGAAACTTGCTATGCCAGTGAAGTGCACTGAGGATTTCGATCTACTGCAGGCTGATATTAAAAGCATTTTCGCAGGGAGCCAGATTAACGGCTTAGAGGCGAACATAGATAAATGCTCTGTGATGTCGTATTCTCGTAAAGATCACATCCTAAACGAGTACAATAACTGCGGAATACCCCTAGATCGTGTGCAATCTGTACACGTAACCTGGGAGTAAGATTTAATTCACAACTAAAATTTAATGACTATATTATTGGTATTTGTATTTCTGCATGGAAAAGCCTCGGCTTTATAAAACGACAATCTAAACTTTTCGACAAGCGTGTATGCGTGCGTGTGCGTGTAAATATACAACGCCTTATTCGTAGTAAATTAGGGAGTGGTTGTACAGTCTGAAATCCTCACAATCAACTGTACATCACAATGATGGAACGAATCCAGAAGTCATTTGTGCGGTCTTTGTACAAAAAACTTTATGGGTACTATCCCTATATGTACCCTATATCATTCATTTTGGGCAGTGTCCTAGACATTTCTAGAAGAAAGGCCAAAATTGGCGCTTATCATGTATATCTTTTGCCTGATAAGGGGATATCTCACTAACGCTCCCCTATTGGCTCAGGATCTCTTTTTTTATCCCACCAATACCACGGTACGTTCTATGCCAACGTCGGGACCCTCTGTTCGTTCTACATCTAATTCGCACGGAAGCACTTAGGCGGACACCATTCTACGAGGCCTTGATAGAATCTTTAAATGGTATCAATGATACTGACCTGAATGTTCAGTAATTCTCAAATCGAAATTTCTGACATCGGCTTTTTACTACATGGAGACGATCACCGCCCGAAGCTCTGTCATCGAAATTCAGCAGTTTGCTTTGCGGTGATTAACTCGACCCTTTGACTATGGCTTACCTACATGTTTAAAGTTTTTATCACTGTTAGTGCAAATTGTATCAAATGAATGAATATACAAATAAGTAATATTAATTAATATTGCACAATAATATTATTAGTATGTAGGGGTAATATTATCGAAATTATTACGTATTTCAAACAGGAAGGTAGATATCAGTTTAATCCGGTATCATAATAATATGTATTTTTTTTATATGTACCTACCTATACAAAAATTATAGTAGGGATTTAATTAGTAGGTAATTTATTTATTACTAAGTAGCTAAGCACACAAAGAAGTTATAATCACTTTATAAAACCCTGAATGATAAATAAACAACGTAGGATACAATGTCCGACAAATGACGTCATATAAAGAACGGAACTAAGCAATCGGAAAAGGTCAGCTGATGATTGTATATGATATATTATGACTATGATATGATTATGACATAATATGTATCTATATCGTGAAATCTGCCTTCAAATATCCCTTTTTATTTCCTTCATAGACGATTTACTACAAAAAGTTACAATACTGCAATGTTGAATTCTACTTCAAGGCCCATCTAATTACCTCAATAAGTCATCAGTCATCATATCACGCTCGACACTTGGACTTTGAACCGACAAGTAGCAACATAGAGATGAATTGCTCATATGCTCTAAATCAGTACAAAGTCCGATGAGTTAAATGTTTTTTCCGCGTGTTTATTCTTACCTATTATGCAGGAGTTGTCTAAAGTTCAGCTTTACGTACGTAGTAAGTAATAGGTCAGAAGATTGTTATATTATTGATTGGTTCAAATTTAAATTTTACGTAAGTACAGTCAAGAGCATATCAAACTTGACACGTTGGACCGTTCTTATTGCAAGCGGCATAGAGTTCAATTTAAACCTTTAGTGTCAAGCTTGACGAGCTCTTCTACATCAAGCTTACACGGACTTTGAACTGTTCTAATCACTTAGGCTTTAAGAGCATAATTGAGGCATTATACGGTTGAAATTAAATCTCGATGTGTTTTGGTTGATGAATGCTCTAAGTAATGCAATAAAATTTGTATTATCGTGTGCATACTAAGATCCTGTGTGAGATTTATACCCACACAACTTCCTACACATCAATGCCTGCATATTACACATTCAACAAAGTGAGTAAAGTAGAACGCTTCTCCTCTACTCTACATACATCGCCAAGGCATTCTGCCAAGTTTACTACCATTTGCCATTATTTGGCTGAATCACATCATTATAATGGCCTTGAGTTGGCCCCAATCTTGGTCCAATCATGGACGAATGCATAGTATATTTCACCATAATTATAGATAGGACTTCATACGAACTGGTATCGAAATTATCGTAAAAACATGTAAATGGGTAGGTACTTATAAAATGCTCACTTTAACTGTGGGTGAATATATGTCAGCGAGAAAACTGTTGATAATATCAAAAGCAAACCACTGAACGTTGTATTTGCCGCCTGTACCAAGTACTTTCTTAACATTTGACCGATAACTAGTCATTAAAGATTCTTTTTTCTTCTTAAGTTCCGCAATTGAAACTTGTTGGCTCATTGACGTTTTTATTCGCCTCCACGCCTCCATTACCGAGTTTCTATTTTGAGCGTTCGGGTATTTAGGGTTCCAAAGGATAGGTTCTTGCTTGTAAAGTTCTAGGAACTCCAAACACATTTCATTGGTCCACGACATCCCCAAATATTTGTTGAAGTGCAAAATTCAAGTATGCTTGAGGTTATGTCCTCACAACACGCGTCAAGCGACACACACAAACTCAAGACTCAGAGAGCATAAACAAACTCAACACAATGACGCACAAGGAGAAGCACGCATTGGACTTGGACGAGTATTTGTGCGTCTGTAGCGCCAACTTGGGTTGCCACTTTCCACATAATATATAAAAGATGTGTATTCTGCCATGCTTGCAATAGCAGTAATGAAACCTGTGTGACCAGATTTAAATTGATGATCCTGCTAACCGCTCGGCTAAAATAAAAACTGATAAAATCTAAAAAAAAAATTTTAAATTATGTTGAATTAAATAACTCACAATTATTTAATCATCGTTTAATCAATATAATAAAATTTACATAATCCACGTTCGTCCTCCGTAAGCGGCTCGAGATGGTGTCGCGTGCAATATGCAGTATATAGGTCCTGTTCCTGTGTTAAGGAATACTATAACTTGATTGTAGGAAGAGACTTAAATTTCAACAGTAAATATATGTACTTGCTGTGATTGTGCTGAAAAGGTTGTAAACTACTAATGTGCCGTGACCAGGATCTCGGCAAATAAAATAGAATAATTCGGTCCACAAAAATTTATACGATAGTTTGAAGGAAAAGGAAGGAAAGGTCCAAAAGGGCCGAGTTATACAGAGTTACAGATTGGTATTAATATTAAAATTGGCACATGATTTAGGTTGATAACTGGTAAAAGGGTCAAAATTAGACGCAATTAAGAATTACAGCTGAACTGTCGCTACCGCGATTGACAGGCAGTGATGACGGAACGAAACAAAAAGAGAATGTAGAGGCAAAGGAAGTAAAGAACGATTCAAAATTTGAAAACAAGTACAATATTATTTATTTTATGATTGTGAATACAAGTATCGAACACTGAAAAATTTCGTTCACCCGAGTGGTGGGACTCGGACCCACGACCATGCTGCACCGTAGCCTTGCTCTAACCATCTGAGCTACCAACCAACAGTGCCCGTCAGTTAATCAAAAATCAACGAATGTCGAAAGTCAGTATAAAGATAACTGTACAATTTTGACTTACTGTTCTTATTGTCAATACGGCAGTATTAGAAAGCCAGTTTTGATGATAATATTATAAATATTTTATTGTTAAATATTCAATTGTAGTTGTAAAGTCAGTTAATGCCTAAGTAGTTTAAGGCAAATGGGCCACATACCTCGTACGGAGGATGCAAAACCTTGAATCAGAAGTCTCTTCCAAATTGGTAAAAACTATGCTATCCTCTTTAGCCCCGAATGTGCTGCAGCATAACCAGCTTGACGACAAGCAGGTAACATTTCCAAAAGTTTTGTATATAATAATTAATTAATGAAACACGAGATAATTCCAGTAGTGAATAGTACACGATTTATCTACCACATACCACAACGGAACTACAAAATCCGTGAAAATGATGATAAGTAGTAGGCTACTAATTACTATTTAAAATATTACAATACATCGTAATAAATAGCGTCTATTCCTTTTCAACTTGCACTAGAAGCTATCACCTCTCGCATTCGGAACATTTGCCGGTATATTGCGTGTTCTGTATGGGAAGATTACGTGGGACTCGGCACACAGTCATCATTCGAGCAAAGTCCATTGCATTCAATGAATATAATACAAGAAGCGTCACGAGGTTGCGTCAGTCCATCAGTCTATTCATTTCACAGCACTTGTTGAGTTGTGTGTTGGTTGCGTCAGATATAAATTTTTGTTTTGCCTTTTTTCCTAAGTGATTTATTATTGTCTCACGTGCATTTATTTTACATTCGAGCAACAATTCTTAGCTTTAATTTACAGGTAAAGAACAATAGTTTAACGTTTTTCTAGATTGCGAAACTATTTCAATGTGACCCTCGTTTCCTTTCATTACGCCGCAGTCGTTGCATTTTACGTTTATGATTCTTGCTTCAATAAGTGGTTTAAAAATAGCTTTGCTTACCTTACCAGGTATAATAAAGTATGCGTCTTCATTTTACCTAAGTCTATGTTGTTTTCTATGGCAGTTTTCTTTTATACCAACTGACCTATTTATTAAAACAGCATTAAACAGAATTTATAGACAAAATTGTTCTTAAATTAAGTTTAAATAAAAATTAGGAATTTTTTTGATGTACCGTCTTTGTAGATAACCTTTATATTTGCTCTATATACACGATTTCATTACATTTTGAAAGAACAATGAATATTAATGTTGAAACAATTGCATTTACAAAGGAGGAATAATTGCAATGTAAACTTCGTGAACAGAACGTTGCAATTTTAACACGCAGTTTACAGAAATTGCAATTTTTGTCGTTTGAATTTCTATTGGAAACTTCTAGAAATTTCCCAACTACCTTACTATCTTTTTTGAAACATAATTGGCGTTCGATAGAGGAGAATTAACGAAGTTTTTTCTAAATAGAAATGGCAACAGAAGTGTCAGCCCCAATGATGCCGCAGTTCCAGTCTGTACAGAAGGCCATGGCGCTGCCAACGGTCGGTGCTGCGGTGGAACAAGTCGGAGCTTTCTACAACAGAGTTAAAGGTATGTAATAGTCAATTATTAGTATATTCTTGGAACAGTTATTAAAACTTACATACTTGTAGACAAAGAATTACGTGTTAATCGCATCGGAAAAATAACCAATTTTTTTTAATAGGCGCACATTCTCTCCTGGAATGGGCCTTGTCTACGGCGGAAGCCAGCATCACACAGGCAGCTATCGTCGCCGCACCATATGTTGCCACACCCTTAGCAGCTGGAGACGCTAAAGTGGCCGCAGCATTGGACCAGTTGGAACTCAAAGTCCCGCTCGTAAAGGAACAACCCAAAGTCATCGTTGAAACAACTAAGCAAGCTGTGCTTACGAGGTTCGCTCCGCAAGTTAACAAGGTAAGTTTAGATGTTCAAGAAGTTTTAAAGTAACTTTCATTACAACATAGTTTCACTTGTAAATCAGAATTACATTTATATTCTACATTTTGGAACTGCATCATGGAACAATACTATATGAAATTGAAATATGAAACAATTTTTTATTTACAATATTTCTCTAAATAGCTTGCATCTATGGTCTCTTGTAGTTAAAGTCGAGTCAATTTGCATTTAACAAATTCTTACTTTTATTGTAAGTAGGTACTATTTTTATAAAAAAAAACAAAAGTATAAAGTAAGTGCTAGTACTAAAATTTTCATCCATAAAAAATGTCCTCATAGTAGTTAGGAGCCTACCCTAGGACAGTTTCCCTATATTTGGCTATGGTTTCAGACTTCACCATACTATCGCTCACAGTTATAAAATAACACACTGTACACTATAAACTAGAAATGTAGCTACCTACCAATCAACAGAATAAGGAAATCATCGAGAAAAGTATTGAGCAACACTATTCACCTTTTGTTATTGTGGAAGAACTATGACATGCTAACTCGTTATGTAAACGTTCTAGGTATTTCTATTGTATGCTTTCTACTTTTGCTGTTATATCGAAAGCGTAAGAAAAGTAGGTAGTTGGTAACAAATACAAATATAGTAGTATTTTTTTACAGAAATTAGGTTAGGTTATTAAACAAACTAAACACACAATTTCTAGAAGTTTCCATGTCCCAAATTGCCATATACAATGATACATGTATTACAAAGTACCTAATTTAACAATGACAAGCGCGTAGGGTATTGCGTCATGTGTTTAGGCATGCTTTTCTGGGACATTCGAAAGTTCAAAGTTCTGTACTCAGGATACAGCTCATTACGTAACGTCGGGAAGCGCAGATTGTCTCTCATTCAAACATTACTGCTTATAAAGTACCTAACTGTCCATATTGTTCATAGCTTAGTGCAGAGAAAATCGTATGTTGTGTCTTAAATATTTGCATTGTCTACATTGTCCTTTATTGAACATTCGTTATGTAGTTAGATACTAACTAACAGATACGATTTCTCAAAACCAGTAATTTTTAAAAATAAATTTAAGTTCCAAAGTTCATTTTAGTAGGTACAGTACTCACTTAGGTATGTACTCAATTAGGTTACACGTGTAGGTACAATGTTATATTTCAAATCTTAGCAATTAAACTCTGACGTTAACTAAGTTCATTAATAGATGTTTCTTTCACACTCTTCATGATTAATGTAGCAAACCTACATGGGTGTAAAAAGATTATTATAAGGTACCTTTTTTGTTTTTAGACGTTTAGCGTCTTAGCCACTGGTAAAAGAACCTTTAATCTATTTGCCAAATTTGGTTGAAATCGATCAAAGCAAGTGGGCGAAATCTAATAAGCCGGATTCATCCTCTAATTTGCCACCCTTATAGGTGGAATATTTTCTTGAAATATACCCTTTCCAAAAAAATCATAGAAATCAGTCCTATTGAGAACCTCCCCCTTTTTTAAAGTCAGTTAATTAGAAACTAGACTGTCTAGAAAAAGGTATCAGGTAAAATAAACTTAAACATGTATACATAATAGTATTTAATACTAAATAATAGGAGAAATATACAACGGTGACGTTTTTACGAGCGAAACAAAACAGGATTTCTGATAAGAATGCCACAGTACAAAGATAAAGGTCATGATCGTACGATCGTCAGCTACAGACAATGAACCGGAAATTGATATGCTTTTAAAAATAATTTTATATCTGATACCTACCAGCAAATGATTATTATCCATATTCAACGATTTGTGCATTGCTCGTGATAAAATCTCACGTAGAAAACAGATCACATGCGAGATCATTCAAATAGATACTTATTATTTGAAACCATAAATTAGTTCTTGTATTGATTTATTACCGAGGAAAATTACTGAAGGAACAAAAAGGTCATTGAAGATTAGTGAGATTACGGATGACACATAATAAATCTAAACCTTGACAAGTAGGTAATGATAATATTCTTTCTGATATAATGCGTACATGCGTACGTATATAAAGATAATAATAATCATAATATGTACGACGTAACACCTAGTTAATAGCTTATATATTTATTTACTTTTGGACAACGTCCCCACGCCACTCCGTGCATTGAAATGAGTACTGTTTTCTAATCTTCGCTTTCATCGTCAGGTGTGTGCGGCGCGTACAGTTGCAGAGCAACGTGTGAAATCTCTTAAAGAATTATCCTGGACCAAAGCCAATGCACTCCTGTCTACGGCGTACGGCCAGAAGGCAGTTCATAGCGTCGACAGCGGGGCTACCTATGCCATGCAACTGTTAGACCACTATCTACCACCTGTAGGCCCTCAAGAGGAACCTAGCAGTAAGTTGTTTTTTAGTACCTAATATAATACTGTGTATCACGATTATTATGATTTTTTAGTAGAAAACACTAAAGATACGAATTTACATTTCTATATGAACCGTGACGTATCTTAAGCAAAAAACAACATTTAGTAGGAATTAGTACCTACATCAGTAAAACATACAATCATTTCTAAATAGATTTTTTTAACCCAAACATTTATTTGCGTATGCAGATGAGATCATAGCGGCTACCAACGACCCAGCACTTCATACAGTTCAAACTGTAGGCAGACTGAGCTCTGTAGCAGCCAGGCGTGTATGGGCTAACCTTGCATACAAGATTAATGAGCTGAGAAACTCTGGAATCGAGCTGGACTTTCGCCGTTACATCGCAGCTTTACTGGCAGCTCTCCATCTAGCCAAGGTCACTAGTGAACAGCAACAGCGCGAACAAGCACAGGAGGAAAAGAAAGATACTCCTCCCTCTGAACCTACCCCACAAGTTATAACCCCACCGAAGCAAACCCAAGAATCTGTGCCCAAAACTTCCGCCAAAGTCAAGGCGACTCCCGAAGCGAAGTCTAAAGTTTCGGAAAAAACAAACTCCGATTAAGTACATTTAAAACTACAATTCATGTTAATTATTTTTAATTATTAAGTTGAACAAGACTAAATAATAATATTACTAGATGTTCTTGTGTGCGAATTGCCATGGCAAACATGCCGCCTAAATAGTTTGTCAAAACAATGCACAAGAGCAAATTTTAAGAGGATCGTTATTACTCTGTCTTCGTTCTTTACAATTTTAATATACAGCCACGTGTAGGTATATTGGGTGTACCTATTATGTTATGGCTATAGATTTTAAGAACACAATATTTTTATTTTTTTCTAGACATTTTTAAAGGAAGACTAAATGTGAAATTGTGAATTTTTCGAAGAATTTGTATGAATTTATAACTTTACAAGATTTTGTATGTTTATGAATAAAAGGCTTTTAATTGATAAATGTTTTTATTTTATTGTATAATCATTTATTAAAACTTAAACTAATCATATGGTTCAGGAAACATCTTTGCCATGATATTTAGGCCCATTGAAATTTCAAAGATATGAGAGATTGATATGGGAAAAGATACAATAGATTAAAAACATACCACATACATACCACTTCAAAATTTAAAATAGCACCTGTAATATTGCAAAAACACAAGAAATCATAGTTAACGTATATTCTATAAGGTTTTATAAATATGTAAATGTTTGGAGGTCAAAACAGCATTGTACAATAAAGCACTTGTTCCTAGATTGCCACCATTTAAATGAATATGAAAATACATTTGATTCCTTACTTTTGGCACAATTCATTAAGATTCTCAAGAATCCTTATGCATAGAAAAATGGAATTACGTGTATTTGATTACAGTTACGTTACGTGCATTAACAGCTGCCATTAGTTAAAAAAAATAAATATCAGAATTTGTATGCATAGTGTAAAATTATACTTAACACAAGGACACTGCTTAGTCTAAATAATTAATCTTGTAAATAAACTTCTGGATTTGATTCAGAAGCTTAGTTTTTAACTTTTGAAAATCTACCTCAAATGTTTAACGCGTACCTTCATACGGTAAAGTGAATGATAAACAATTGTGGGTGGTTTTTAAATTTTTATGCCACTCGTCTATTGACTTGGGTGTTAAAAATTAGATGGGCGTGTAATATATTCATAAACGCATTGAGACACTTACGTGTTGAGGCTTGACTTGATAATATATTGGAATTTCTTACAATGTAGGTAGATAAATAACTACAAGCGTATAAATCTTTTAATACTTTTACATGGTTACGTGTGCGAGAAATACGTAGGCACTTAATACATGTGGGTATAGATGCCTTTCAAAGTAATTACAGTATATATAGTTTCAAAAAAATATATTAGGAACTACCACGGCAACTTAATGAGTATAAGTAATTCGATAATGATTTTACAGAAATGGGTATGGGATATTTACTTCTACAGTGGATTATACTGGAAGTACACTTAGAGCTATTTACCTACGTATGTCGTCAGTCGTGGAAGATGCCATCTTAGCCCAAGCCATGGTCCTCGAAGAATCCTTGCGGCGTCTCCTCCTGCAACAAGGGTCATCACTGAGCATGTGTCGCTCGTGCCGCGTTAGACCGGCTCGGCCTGAGCGGAGCCATCGCTTTTCGGTTACACAAACTAGTTACGAACAACGTGAGTGCGAAGACCAAGTTAACTCACTGACCTTACGCAGACAGTCGTACAACACGCGAAGAATTTATAATCATATTTTAAACATAATAAACGCTGCTACGTTTAATCTTTATATCTGGGATGGTGCTATGATATCATATTTTGGGCTATTTATTCGATTAGTGTTGCCCAGAAAATACGTTAATAATTTATCATCATAAAGCATTTATTTCTTTAAATTGTGAACCTAATGGGCATAACAATGAAATCGAAAGTTATGAATAAAATTGTTTAATCCGTAAGTCATAAATGTACAAAAGTTGTAACTTAAAAACAATAGAATACATAGACATTAGCGAGAGCTCGGAATTTATAGTGGTACCGTTGACCTAAAAACCAAAACAAGTAAATATGTGAGTTGTCCGAAATATATATAACTTGTTTAGTTTGATTTTCAAGCGGACCAAAATGACTACTGAATGAATTTTCATGAATCTACCTTACAAACTGCAACTATATATCGCAGTATTATCCAATCCATACCGCATACAAATCTAGTCAAAAATATTAGTGAAAATCTGAAAACTCGATCAAAAATATAAATAATGTATTTAAAAAAATAATTTTTGTTGTTTTCTTTTTACAAAACATAACAAACCTCGTTTTTGCCTTTACGAAGAAAATCAAAATTCATATATAAAATTTCTGTAAACACACAAATATCATTACGTATGCAATTTCGAGTTCTCGCTAATAGAACTACACTAATGGATTGAGTAAATATAAGACTATAAAAAAACAAAAATTCGAACTCGTAATCAAAAATTTGCATTGCATAATGGCACAAAAACGGAGAATTCGTATTTTTTTTCATTGTGTAACATTTAAACCCTGTTTTCAAAACACAATTCGGAATTATAAAAATTTATGTAAATAAACAATATTTAGCTTTATTAAACTATAAAACAATTATAACAAAATTAAATTCAATTAATGTGCTTAAACAACAAAAATACCACACTTTAGTAGGACACACATATTTAAGCACTAATGTCTAAAGGTGTACTAATGTACAAATTTTGGCTAAATATATTTATGCTAATTAACTCAATTTCGTTAGGCAAGGTCAAATAAACATAATAATAATGCACAAGATTTTTTGATTAATTAGGAAATAGGCTAACAAACATAATTTCAATTTGGTCCACTTTGGTTTATTATATTACACGGTGGTTTGTTCTGAGACAAACTACCAAAAATGTGTCATGTGTAAGGTTAAGAGAGATTTTATAAAATAATTATTTTACGTAAAATTAAAATGTAATATATAACAACCATAAGTAGAATCAAGTAGAACTATAGTGACAAAATAATTTACAATGGAGAATTTCCACACGAAACATTCATCTAGCCTTAGCTAGCACAGAACTACATTTGAATCCTATCTAAAGAGAATTTTATTGCAATTGCAGGAATTCATATTCCTCATTTTTATTATTACGTAAACTTATCCGTGTACGTGAAATATGCTGTTTACTTAGTTATGTCCAGTACTTAAAGGTTAATTCTTTTAGTTAATGGCTCGGAAACAATCAGACTTACAATAGATTTATTTCTGATAATATTGAATGTTTAAAGTGTTTATTTAGACATGAATGTTGATTATAACTATGTGCGTCCTTATTTCTTCTAAGGGTTGCATATGTATATACATGTGCAACCTTTAGAAGAAATAACGGCCACAGCAAAGTTAACGTACACAAATATTATTTGATAACGGTGTACTTGGAATGTGAAGATTCTGGAACTTCGGCGATCTCACAGCAGGCCGACTTCTCGCAGCGCAGCATCCACTGTTTCGTCCTAATACAATCCATCCCGTATTTACCGTCAATTTGTTACATAATAGGTTTTCAAAATTTTGAGGATTATGTTAAAGACGGATCTTTTTTCTTCCAATTTCGTTTCTCTTTTGTTTAAAGTATTCATAAGTAAGACAACTGGTAATTAAAGTTAATTTATTTTTATTTTCCAGAGTTATTCGTAGTAAGTTGGAAGCGATAATAGCATGCTGTTAACAAAATTATATTACAAAGGGTAACCCACACCAATAAATAGCCCACACCACATCAAAGCTTTAAAATAATTTAAAGCTGTATATATGTGTATTATTCGACTTTATGTAATGGGAAATAACATGAGTTTTTGTTTCACAATTTCTATTATAAGTAAATGTTTTTTATAAAAGGAATCATAAACTCATGTCTTTCAGGCGAAGGGAAGAGGTCCATGCAAGAAAACAGAATATTGATTCAAACGATTATATTTCCACATCCCATTACAATAAATGCATGAGCAGGCACGAATATTATAAATACGAGTAAAATGTGATACTGATTCACCGTTACTGCCCTGTAAACATGCATTGGTGCAATTGCAATTTGTGTAAACATGTTTAATTTTATTTACAATTCTTGTAAATTATAAATATGAATTATGTAAACTCAATATTTAAAATGCATTATTTGTTAACAAGCAATAATTGACATTGAAATTGACACGCAGTTCTATTATTATTTTCAACCACTTTAATATAAGGCGTAAAGGTGAAACAGTTTATGAGTTACAATTAAATTGTAAATAATGACAAGTTGTTAACTACACGAATACGAGGCCACTGTAACTTACATTGACTACGGCTATTTAAAATGCTATAAATAGACATAAAATTACTCTTTTGACATAAATTATCTACTCAATTACAATTTTAGTTTCCAACATCTGCTTAATATTGTGTTGTTATGTACATATTTAACAACAACAAATCGGTTATCATAAGGTCTAATTTGCAGAAGCTCAGATTTGTGATCGTGCACAAAAGCGGTAGAATATACTGGTATACTGTAGAAGATACTTACATACTTCTAAAATAACAAAACTATTTAACCATATTTCAAATAAAGTGCACTAATACATAAAAAGCTAATAACCAAAATGGGCACGCAGGCAAGAAGCATGATTTTATAAATATGAAAAGCAACCATGGTCAGTAACTTGGAATTGTTATGATTTAATTATCCTTTTCACCATGACAAACGAATGAATGAAAACAATACCTATTATTCTGATTCTCGTAATTCTTGTTCCACCAAAAATGCACGTAAACTCAAGTAATGAGCAATGGTTGGAAAAAGATGTTCCATATAATTATATAGATACATGTATAGACATAGATACAATGAGCGACATAGAATAGTTAAAACCACCAAATATTAATGAATTAAACTATTTTTCAGGATTTAAATCGCGTATATTTGTTTTTTCAACCGTGACCATGGGACCTGTAAAGGGCCCGAAACGTCGGTTTGTTTGAAAAAACAAATATACGCGATTTAAATCCGGAAAAATAGTTTCATTTCCTATGTGTAACAATCGCGAAAACCTAAGAACTCGATTAATTACTTTTTCGAATTACGGATTTACGGAAATGGTTTTACTGCATCATAGGACGAACTACTGACCAAGGAAGTCGAAGTCGGATTTTGAAGTAATTCTAATAGTGCCATGTAAAAATGTAGTAGATAATTAACAGCCTTGGTGCGGTTCCGTCATTGTGGCCGCCAATATGGGTTCCATCACAATGTAATTTTAATTCATTTGTGGTGAGAGTACCAACTCAACATCTGTCGACCTTCATGAAGGATGAGTTTTGGCCGAAGGGTGTCATGTACCGACGTTTCCGAGGCCGGCTATCGGACACCCACGTTGCGTCACACGTCGCAGACAATACGTGTGAATAATAATTGTCATAAGTGTTTTATTGTATACTGCTCAAAACAATTAGGGAAACAAAACTTTAAAGTACAACTAAACTTTTTGCTTAAGGATTTAATTATATGTGGCCACTAAATAACGTAGAGGCATTGTCGAAGAAATTAAAAAACACAAGAGCATCGGCGTGTTTGTTAGTAGTTCTCAATAAAGTGGTCAAGAGTCTATAAACACCTAAACATAAAGTGACGCCATTGAATTTTCTTTACTTTCTAATCACAGAAAACACATTTTAAGTTGTTTTTCAGGTCATTTGAGTATTAATAGAGATTAAAGTGAGTCTTTTGAGTATTCTTATTCATTGAAGCGAGTGAGTTTAGGTCATAATGCCAGATATGACTGTCTGACTACCAAGCTGTTGCTTTGCTGGAACAGGGTCGAACTATGCGTTATGTAGGAAATGATCTTGGAGTAGTCCTTTCTGTTATTTACAGGTTTTGGAAGCGATACCGTGAGACGGGAGAATGACCACGCCGGTCAAGGTCGAGAGAGAAAAACTACACGTTGGCAAGATCGCTACATCGTCAACTGTGCTTTACGTAGCCGCACCACAACTGCAAGAGATCTCCAAAATACATTAAGCACGGCTACTGGTATAGAAATTTCCGACCAGACGGTAAGAAACAGGTTGATGGAAGTCAATTTGAGATCGCGCCGACCAGTTCGGGCTGTGAGTCTAACTATTTAACATAGATAAGCTCGCCGACGGTTCGTGCATCACGCTAATTGGCAACTTCGACATTGGAGGCCAGTGCTTTTTACTGACGAATCACGATTCCGTCTAACACGTTGCGATGGTCGTATCCGTGTTTATAGACGCCCAGGCAAGCGATACAGTGCAGTGGCAGTACAGGAATATGACAAATTTGGATGTGGCTAGGTGATGGTTTGGGTCGGAGTTAGTTGCGACGAGCGCACAGATCTCGCCATTGTTTCCGAGCAGTTGTGTGCTCAAGCTTACATAGAAAACGTGTTCGAAGATCATGTTTTGCCTGCATCATATGGTATCGGTCCAGATTTTCTTTTAATGCAAGATAATGCTAGCCACGTGCTGCGGCCATCACGTCAGATTACTTAAGACATCATGAAATATATGTAATGGAGTGGCCTTCCATGAGCCCGGACCTAAATCCGATTGAATACATTTGGGACTTGGTTGACAGGCGCATCCAGAAGCGTTCTATTACACCTCAAACACTGCAGCAGCTCACTGAAGCGTTGATGGAAGAACGGGAGCGAATTCCGCAAGAAGATATTCGGAGGATCATACGAAGCATGACACGTCGTTGTCAAGCTGTAATTAGGGCTCATGGGGGCCACACACGTTACTAAAAGTCACTAAAGACGAATATTTAATCGATATAAGAATATTTCTTTGATGGACCTTTTTTACCACCAATTAGGTTTTCGCCAACTGTTTTTTTTTTTTTTTTTTAAATGCAAAATGTGTTTTTTGTTAAGTAATAAAAAATTAACAAGCAAAAAATTTACTTCAAATTTATTTTAAAACTAATTGTAGTTTAAACAATGTATTTTTTATTATTATTATTTTTTTATTATTTATATTATTATTAGTTAGTCTTTAAGGTATGTATTTATGGGTCTTTGCAACCTGATTACAAATAATTAAATAAAAAATATAAAAAAATATGCAGGGCGCAGTGCGGTATCTATAGTAAAGCTAGGGAGGGGCGGAGAGTGACCATTTTCGTTACTATTTTATTATCTGCTTTGGTAAAAGGTCAGTTAGCTACTGCATTATTTTACATGGCGTTCGTAAAATTACTTTGAAATGCGACTTCGACTTCCTAGATGAGTAGTGTTGTCTTACGATGCAGTAAAACCATTTCCGGAAATCCGGAATTCGAAAAATTAATTAATTAATAATTGCTTGTTTTGACAACGTTATGTCGTTCCTTGTAGTTCATCGAGTATAGAACCAGAAACAGAGACGAAATGTCATTTAATTTGTTTGAAAACTATTCTGCCATACTGCGACAACTGCGCTCCGATTGGCCTACCCGAATTCGAAACAATGTCGATTGTTTCACTTCAAATCGACCAGTAACTAGAGCTTTGCTTTATTGGACGAAAATTGCAAAATTACATATTTAATTAGGTACCGATGAAATTTGATTCCGTTTGTTTTATAATTAGATGTTTTGGTGTTTTTCCCCACACCACCGAATGAAACAGCACGCCATTGTTAGAGATATTATCTTTATTACAATAAATACAGAATATTTTTGGAATATACGCAGACGTACACATAGGTCAATTGTTGGCGCTTCTGTATTTCAGTGCAAACGAGAGTTGATGTTTATAAGTGATGAATCACTGATAAGTTACCAGGAATGTATTGCCCTTATTTCGTCTCTATTTCTGGTTATATACTTGATGTTGTAGGTATATACATGTCTCTATGTATGTGGAGCACCTTTTTCCGATCATTGGTAATGAGTTAATTTTTGCAAAAACTACTGAATGCAAAGGATAATGTAAAGCAAATTAGGATACCAAGGGCTAAAGGTATAAGAGCAAGTATCTACAAAGGTAGACATATAGACTTAGGAATAGCGTTGCAGGGGGCGACAGTTTCAGTGCAACAATCCATCGTTCAGGTCCTGCCTCCATCAGTGCATGCACATCACACCAAAAAATAATATATTTATTAGCAAAATATAAAGTTCTATTAGTAATTTTGAAGTGTAAAAGAGACGGTGTTTGTCATATTTTAGGCCGCCACGTATTATGTGAAAGAGAAAATGTGCAGCAAAAAGGAAATGTTAAAATATCTGGGTTAAGTAACCAATCGTAATACATTGTATCATATACATTTATAGTAACTAAGGTTAATAAATACGAAAAAGGGGTGCCGCCACTTCAAAAGGTCTGAAATATTGTGTTTCAAAAAGCAATTGTAAACTATCAATAAGACTTAACAAATTATATTTACTACTCAAGATATGCGTTGTAAAATTTAGCATTTTATACAACAACTAATCACCCTTAAGAACTATTTTAAGTGATTGTATTATGTTCTTTTATAGCAATCAATATAAAATATTGTCACAATTAGTTAGTTGCGATTATGACACATAAACTGTGAAAGAATATTGATATGTAAAACACTTTAAATACATAGAGCATAAAATTGAAAAGGCAGTGCTCTGGCTACACTAGTGACGTTATATACAATGAAAAGGCACTACCGAGGCCACAGTCCTAATATTCTGGTCCACATTATGATATCTCATAGATTATTAACTCTATTAAATATCCAACTAGATACTAACAATACAGTATAGTTGTTTAGGACTAGAATTCATTATGGGCAGATAATTTTAAGATTATTTCACCTATCAGTTTTAATGGCCATGAAATATAACTATATTTCATTGTCATTAAAACTGTAACTCTGGGAAGCAACAACTATATAACAACAAACATTGTTACCCCAAATGGCATATTTGCTATAAAGTATAATCAACAAATTAAAAGCTGTGACAAAATTGTAATGTAATTACAAGAGATAATGATGATGTTTATTTGCAAAAACTGTAAACATTTAATCAGTGGGACTTTTTGTATGCTAAGCATAATCGTGAGTTTATTTAATCTAGATTTCGAGAACAATTCACATAAACCTAACTGTCATAGAACTTTATTTTGCTAAAAATTGTAGTACCTAAAGATCGGTTCCCTGAACCTCTATTTAACGATAACCTAAGCAGAAAAAATCAAACACTTGTCCATAAACGGTAGATAAAAAGTGGTCCAAACAAATGCAAGTTTAGACAAGCTCATTGTCCTGGCTACTGACCTCTTGGAGCAGGTCCTGGGCAGCGATGGCTTTCAGCACATTCTTCTTACTGGTCTCTTGCAGCTCTCCTCCGAGAACCAATTCGTCTAGTATGAAGTACGCCTTCTCAAAGTTGAAGATAATGTCCAGCTCACATACCTGTTTAAGGGAGAGTAAAATTATAAAACTTTCTTTTATTGGTTACACTTATGTGGTATTTCTCATACAATCTAAAAGATATAACTTACATTTAGTGTTTTTGTATGCTAAGGGCCATACCGCGTAGTCGCGATACTGGAGTTACGATTTCGTTTATTCACGTCAAACAAATAACTTGTATCAGTTTTTAGGTGTGTCATTACATAATCAAAAATACTGGGTGTGTCATGCAGCTAAAATTCGCTAAGATTTTAAAAATTTACTATGACCCATGCAGATGAAGAAATGTGTTAAATGAATGTAAAATTTCGCAAGTCAATTGGTAACAAATAATCTAGGTAAGTAACAAATTGACTATAGTATATCCTTTTTAAAGACGGAGTAAAATGACAGTTTATTGCGTAAAAGTGTTGCCTGCTTGTGAGCAGTTAATGATTGCAGTTGATAAATATTCCATCGACTATCGACTGAATATTAGTCGCGCTTATGGAATAAACAGCCGAACTTGTTTCATTTGAATCATCTTCGACTCATTATTCATCCAATTACTGAGCACAAGTTCATTTGAATTGTCAATTTTTGTAAGTTATACATGTATGTATAACACTGTATTTAGAGAGATGTTTATGAAAAATACAAAGAGGAGACATATTTTAAAGTTTTTCATTTTAATTCAATATACATAGATAATCAAATCCGGTTATTCTTGTAAAATGTATACGAATGAAAATTGATCTTGATGGTAGCAGGCCTACTGTCAAAATAAGAATAACGGAATTAATAATCATTAGAACGTCGTAACATTCACGATTCAGTAATTTTTGGTAAGATTTTATCTTTGACAATCTATCGATAAAACTATCACCAACAATTACATAACTATTTAAAATTTTATGAAATCAGGCAACCCTACAAATGTCATTTTACTCCATCTTCAAAAAAAGAGACTATTGTTGGGTGTGATATTGTTTAGTATAGTTTTGTGCTGTTATTAAAGCTAGCTTGCTATACATGAAGTGGTAAGGGAAAGCTGTAACCTATCACAATCAACCCTAGGGTCCTACCTAGCAGCTTAGCCCTAACCATAAACTACAATACTGCCGCCGTTAGTTGAAAGGGCGCATGTGATACATTTGTTTCTCTCGAGAGTGTAGGTGTTGTTTGCGGTTTGTGTGGTGTCTAGGTATGTGTGTAGTGCATAATATTATAAATAATGCACACACTCAGCATAAGCAGAAGACAGTCAATGTATTTGGCCAAACATACTAAACAGGCTTGATTTTAATACCTAGTGTTAAGGAAACAATTAAGAAGAAAAGGTAAAAACACTCACACTTCCAAAATATTTATCGAGTAGTTCAACATAACGGTGGATTAGCTCCAGAGTCAATAACTCGTTATCTTCTTGCTCCATTGCGCAACAAAAGTATAATGATGCATATCTATAAACAATATTCGCATTTTTAAAAAGAGGAAACACATGACAACCTTGAGAACTTAATTAAAAAATGTAATTAAAATGTGCAAGGCTTGTAGAATTTTTATATTTATGATTAGGTACATATATCGTTCGCCAACTAGTTTTGCGATTTAAAATTCCGAGCGGCACTGCAACTGTTATGGACAGGCTCACATCTCTCTGCTTAAGTTTTGTTTATAGCGCCCCCAATAATCTCATGGTTATACAGTAAAGGTACAGGGACCATATCAGTCAGGGCCTGACCCTAGATCATCCCATATACAGACTTCATTCAGTGTTCAAAAGACTAGTGCCTTAGGTCAGCGACCCCGGGTTAACGTACAGCATCCTCCCCATTGTCCATACAGGCAAAAGCACATCAAGCTTTGAACAATTTGTATTGTAAGCGACATAAAGTCGAATAAAAATCTTAAATGTCCAGCTCACATGCCTATTTTAATTTTTTTTTCCATTTGATTCCCGCGAGTAGACTGTAAACACTCGGCAGTCAATTTGGCCTTCTGATGTCAATCACTAATGATTATTCTAACTGTGTACAATATTCCCAAGGAAGGTAATCTCGAAAAGACAGGCAGATACCTTTTGTAAACGACTTTGACATCCTTCCACTCGAGGAAAGAGCACATCTTTGGCTTACGAGCCAAAACTGTTGTGATCAGTTCTCGAGTAATTTTCTTCTTCAGCTTGTCAGGGTGCGCCACATACCACTTTTGCAGCCGAAGCTTGCCTTGCCGGCTAAACAGGAGCATGAACTGCATCTGAAATTGTATACAAATAAGTATTTTTAAGCTTCTAAGACCGAGCAAACTATTATGGAATAAACACTAAACGTCCAAAGCACTTTTCTTTTTCTTTTTTTTATGATTATTTTATTTGCAATCGGCCGCCAGGCCATAAGCGAATCTTTTGAACGAGAGAAAACGTTTTTGGTGGAGCGGCCAGTGCCGCACCTCCCAACTATAGAACATGGCCTCGCTTAAGCCGTTTGACCATAGTTGATGGATCTAGAAGTTCCGCAATGAGTGGGTTCGGGTGGCAGGATAGTCGCTCTTTGTGCTTAGTTTTATGTCGGTCGATCTCATCAGCTACCGATATGACATTTAGATGACCATGGATCTCTTCATTACCGTCCATTACCGTAGTCCAAAGCACTTAACATAATTTTTGCAGTGTATGGATAAACCTATGCAGATTTTTGTTGTGCAGTCATGTTTAGATCAATAAGTATTATTTAGGTGTGCATGCTCCATTGTTGACCTCAATGTCACTTTCCGTCAGGTGATATGAAGGTCAAATCTGCCCTTGGAAAAAAAAAGGCACAACTGTCGAATAAAGTACGCATAGTTGGGCCTTTTTTCGTTATGAGGCCAGAGCGAGTGTGTCCTCTCAGTTTTGTACAAAAAAACATATTTTTAAAGAAAGAAAGAAACATTTATTCGGCTATTACAAATAAAATATACAAATTATTAATATTACTGTAGGTTGGACATTAATAATCTCGCCAAGGTTTCGTATAATGGAGTGAGTCTTGCATATGCTGATAATACAAAGAACCTGGGTCTGATAATCGATAATACACTGTCTTGAAGACCGCAGGTAAATGAGGTTAGTCGACGCATGCATTTTTCCTACCATTCTCTCAAGCGGCTTCAATTCTTCTTGCCATTCAATACCAAGCAATTATGCTTGCTCAGTCTTTACTACTTCCTCTTCTCGACTATGCCGATGTTTGTTATTTGGATGCTACTGAGGAGCTGCTTAACAAACTGGAGCGCTTACAAAATCTGGCAATCCGTTTCATATTCGGTTTACGGAAATATGACCGTGTCTCGGAATTTCGAACTAAGTTGAAATGGCTACAAATCCGACTTCGCCGAGATATGCACGTTCTTTGTCTCCTTTATAAAATTCTACATAACCCCCAGCTTCCTCATTATCTGTGTTCCCGTTTTTCTCCCTTATCCCCCAGTTCCCGCCCAAAACGTACCTGTGACACTAGATCACTAATAAATCCCCAATCCAACTCGAAATTCTTCCACAACTCTTTCACGGTAAGTGCAACTCGTATGTGGAATAGACTGCCTGCTAGCATTCGTGACAGTCCATCAGTGGCATCTTTCAAACATAAATTAAAAGAGCACTAGTACCTGTCGAACGCGTTAGATAGCTAATAGGTAACATATATTATAAAGTAGTAATTTGTTTAGATTATAATATATATTCTGCTTATGTTTGTATTTATGTATATAAAGTTCATGTAGGTGTGTATGTCTGTCATATGTATATATTATCATCCTTTATATGTATATATACATTATTTATATATATATTTTAATTATTTTTTTTTACTCACATTTAAATTTAAATTTTATTGTACAATAATTAGTCCCGCAGACTTCATTTTTCACCTAAACTAGGGTTGGCTGGAAGAGATCTCTTCTAGAGATAAGCTCACCTTTGTATATGTCCTTTATAACTTGTGTTTCATGTATCTTTTCTTTGTGCAATAAAGAGTTATTATTATAATAATAATAATATTAATTATTCAAATGTTGTGCATAGCTGCATAATATAATATAAGGAACCAAAAAATATATATATTACTAAGTACATAAATAATAGCCGAAAAGGCTAGCCAGCTCAGCTTAATGCTGCGCAGAGCCACAGCGCTGGTTTTCAGCTGGAGCCTGAGAAGAGGTAGATAGGCTATGCCTATTTAACAAAAACTAAAAAGAATAACAAGGATTTGATCCGTAACCTAAACATTTAAAATAACAATACCCAATTTATAATATAATTATTACAATATGCAGCGTGCTCTTAAACAGTATAAAATAACAAAATTAATAATAATAATAATAAGAATAATGTATAAGTCATAACAATACTAAAATAAATTAACAACTAGCTTTAGTGATTGATGCCGTTCATTTGTCCTATTAGCGTAAACTCTTTACTTCTTTTGCGAAAGCCAGACAAAGAAGCTATATCGCGAATAGGAGGAGGCAAATCATTCCAGATTTTCGCCGCGGCATACTTAAAGCTCCCTTGAAATGATGCAGTTCTGTGGCACTGGAGAATTAGCCGACCAAGACGCAATTGCGAAGACCATATTAAACTTTTATATAGGTAATACGGTTTTTTATGTTTTATTATACCAAAGAGTAAAGTGGCAAAATGTATATACCGACGTGAAGACATATTTAATAGTTTATTTTTATTTAAAAATGGCGATACATGACTTCTAGGAGGTATTGTATAACAAAATCTTAGGCATGCATTTTGAACTCGCTGTATTAATGCTTTAGTTTTACACAGAAGACGAGAACCATAAACTGTATCTGTATAGTTAAATTTAGACAAAAATCAAGGATTCCACCAATTTAAACCGCAAATCCGTGCTGAGATAATCTCGCATCTTATATAAAACTTTTAGGCGATAAAAACTGTTACGAGCAACTTCTGCTATATGAGATTCAAAACGTAGCCCAGAGTCCATTATGAGACCTAGATTGCGCGCTTCACGGACACCAGCTATTGCTTCTCCTTGAATAGTTAATTGAGGTTCTCTCGAAGCCATTCTCGAAACTTGCAGCCTTGACCCAAATACTATAAACTTGGACTTGTTAGGATGCAATGTAAAGAATGAAGAGCAAAGGCCCTAAGATAGAACCCTGTGGGACACTGCTTCGCATATGGGCAAGGGACGATGAAGACACAGAACCATCTCTCCCACCAAACTGTACATATTGAGAGCGATTATTCAGGTAGCTATCAAACCATTTCACTGAAGGCTCATCGAAACCATAATACACTAATTTGGATAATAGGAGAGAAATATTTATTGTATCAAATGCACGGGAAAAATCAAGAAGCACAAGCACAGTTCCCATTCCTGTGTCTTGAGCCTCCAAAATGTTCCACGTGACATCCATCAAAGCCGTAGAGGTGCTGTGTTTTTTCCTAAAACCCGACTGAACCTGGGGAAGAATGCTATTTGATTCCAAAAAGTCTGTGAGCTGCTGACTTACGACCCTCTCCAACAACTTAGACATGCAAGGTAGTATACTAATTGGTCAAAGATCCTTAAAAGTAAGTGGATTTGTATTTTTGGGGAGAGGTTGTCCGATGGCTGTTTTGTAAAGATCAGGGAACGTTGAAGAAAGTATCGAGGTGTTAATTATGGATGTTAAAGTTTCCAGGGTATATGGGAGCGTTAACAGTAACATGTCCAAGGAAATCATATCGGCTCCCAGGGCATTAGATTTAAGACTGTTAATAATTCGCAACATAGATGCAGAAGTAATAGTTTTGAGAGTAAAGACAAAATTTCCAGCTCTATGAAGCGTAAAATACTCTAGTACTGAGACGTCGGTATCGGATTCAGGCAAATTGAGAAAGTGTCTATTAATATCATCAGGCAAGCAGAGATGAGATGGAAGTTCGAATTCAGGTTTTGGTGGAAGTATATTTAACTTGAGATTCTTTCACAAAGTCGCAGGGTCCTTTATATGTCTGTTAAAATGTTGCTTAAAATAAGCTGTTTTTTCAAGATCAAGGGAGGTCTTCACTAGATTTTTAAGATCTTTGTAATAACTTTTATGTGTCTCATCTTTGGTTTTGTGATATCGTGTGTGAGCTTCATTTCTCAATCTCATCATTAGCTTTACATTCTCCGTAATCCATGGATATGAGTGATAATGGACCAAAACCGATTTGGTAGGAGAATGCAAATCAAACAGTTTTGTAATAAACTCAGTTGCCGAAATTACCATCTCATTAACATTTTCTAAGCTTAGGATAATATGCCATGGAATGGCTCTGACGTCATTCTGAAAATAGTCCAAATTTATGTCTTTTAAACTACGTCGGGTCACATGCCTTGGTACAGTCCTAAACTTTTTAAAATTAAATTCACACATGACCAAAGCATGATTTGAGAGTTTACTCCCTATCACTTCGGCAGACACACTGCGATAGGAAGCATCAGTGCATACAAGGTCTTCTTGCATACTGTGCCAGACGCTATACCAACTAAGCCACGGAACGAACCAACGGACCTCTCGAATTTTTCTATGTGCTTGTGTCGTGTCTTTGTACTTGGTCTTTCAACGACTTTTTAGTCATAGCGCCATCTATGAGAAATCTATGACAGATTTATGCAAGAAGACGTCAGTTCGAATCCGACCGGATTGAAGGAATTTTTTCTGAGTGTTTTTTCTGAGTGTTCGATCTTTGTATTAATAATTATAACAAACTAGTGGAGTCATTTCACAAAAAATAATTGAATATCAATTCAATAAAAATTTAATTAATACAGTGAATAGCGACATCTCTCGCCAGGACTGGTAGCTGTAAAGGTACTAACTGGGTGATAAATCTGTCATAGATTTCTCATAGATGGCGCTACGACTAAAAAGTCGTTGAAAGACCAAGTACAAAGACAACGACGCAAGCACATAGAAAAATTCGTGAGGCCCATTGGTTCGTTCCGTGTCTTAGTTGGTATAGCGTCTGGCACGGTATGCAAGAAGACGTCGGTTCGAATCCGACCGGATCGAATTAATTTTTTCTGAGTGTTCGATCTTTGTATTAATAATTGTAATTGTTTATGTTCATAATAGTAGGAACAATGTACTTCTTTCTATAGTCTTCTTCTTTATAATGATATAGCTCCATCAATACTATCGATGGCTCCGCTAATGTCGAGTTATTTATACGGTCAATTTTCTTGTTTTTTTTGTCGCTTTCTCTTCACGCTGTTATGATAACATTTAAAAGCTTATGAACCCATTCTGAGTAATGCTAAACATATACCAGTGGATTTATTATCATAATATTTGGAACGATATAATGCAATTATCAGATATTCTTAGAATGATCAATGAAAATGAAGTGACTCGATGTTACGAGATGTATGCGGTCTTACCATCTTGGAAGCTCGTTAGCAAAACAATCTGTCAATTCTTGTTTGGAAATATAGAATACTTCAACATGAATCACTTCATATTACGAATATTTCATAAGTCATTAGCAAAATTTAATAAACGTGCAAGTAAACTGAAAATATTGAAATGCACAGACAGGAAAAGCTACGTTGGAATTATTGACATTGACGTTTCAAACATGACAAGACTTTTTTGGTATGGCAACATTTTTTCTTTTCTTTTTTTTTAAGGATTTTTAGCTTGGATATGAGACTCTTGAGTCAGGCCTTCATTTCGTTTTCGGGTTTTTCACCAATTTTTCACTGTTGTTCAATAATTCTAATACTCATTTTGCGTTATACAATTTTGTGTTAATAATCACGCTAAATAACACATCAAAAGATATTTCTAAACGAAGAACATAACATGCGCTTTCGATTTACATTTTTTCAATATTTTTTAACTTTGATGAGATATTGAAAGAAGGGAAGGACAATAAATGTACCACATATGGTCTAATGGGGAGCAACATCTTATCCCAAAAAGCACACATGTCCATACACAATGCTTAGCTGGTTCCTGGTGAAAGTTGAGTATTGTAGAAAAAGCATGAAAGTAAAATTAATGCAGTGGAGATGAGATCTTTGAGGAAAATTTCTGGAATAAATGTGAGTGATGGAGTGAAGAATACAATGATACATGAAAGATGTATCTTGAAAGAGGACGTGTTGACTAGGATAGAGAAAGGAATGTTGAGGTGGTTTGAATATGTAGAGCGGATGGATGAAAGAAGTATTACCAAACTTTATGATGCGAGTATGGATTTTAAGAGGACGTCCCAGAAGGACTTAGATACATACATTGACCAGGTCAGTGTTATCCTGAAAAAGGCTGAGATCTGATCATTCCCGCAATATGCTAAGTGGCACGTCTTCCAGTAGACCTGATACCCCGTTCTCCAGATTTCTATGTGAGTGTAAATGAGTTGAAGGCTGAGGTTCAGAATACGATTTGTAATACAATTCATCACAACACGTTATTAAAAGTTACTCAAAATGAATTCGTTAAAAGATTCAAGATCCAAGAAAATGGAGCTCATTTCACATGGAGAGCAATTAATTAGTTAGTATTTTAGAGTACTTTCCCTCCAGGTGGCATTACAAATTTCCACCCTGTATAAAGAATATGTACGTATTATAAATATCTTCTCTTTGGATATTACTGTGTAAGTTTGAATGTGAAGAAAAAAGAGTTACTAGAGTTGTAAGAGCTTAAACATGGCTTAGACTCTATGGAAAAAACTTAGACTAAGGAAACAGTGTCAATTTTTATTTTGTTTTTGACAAACTGACTGCATTCGTCGAAACTGACACTGGCCTAAGCGTAGAGGGAGAATAAAAATTCTCCCTCTACGGGCCTAAGATAGTGGCCGCCATTAGAAAATAATATTATAGACAAAATGTATGTGTAGGTATTTTTCCTGCGTGAATTTTTGCTACAAGTTTCCATATTTTACGTAATACGTTATATATTTGACAAAGGGTTTCACTGGATATTACAATCATCAAACCGAATCTAGATTTAGCTGTATTATGAAAGGAACACCCGCTGGAAGACTCTGAAATTGGAGATGATATCAGGGCTATCAGGACTTGATAGAAATTGAACAGATCAAGAACGATTAAAAAATGACACAAGCAAATACGTTGCCACCATTAACGCCGGCTCCACCAAAAATATCAAAAGCAATCACAAATTTCGTTACTGGGTACCGTTTTCCAGTATTTTACTATTGCTGCATTTGTGTGCCTTTAAAAGTAGCTGTTTCATTAATAGCTTTGTGGGGAGTAGTACCGACACTGGCGTGTGTTTATCTCTCGTCGCCTTCCGGGAAAAAAATGCTTGTTGAAAACGGTGTGCCGAAGACAGAAGTAGATGCGATAGCCATATTCTATGGAGCCTTGGGCGCTATAGTGTTTACGTTTCATATTTTATTGCTAGTTGCTGATATGGCCCGCTTGGCAAGATTTTATATAGCTTATTTAGCATTTGTCCTATTCTACTTAATCATCCAATTTGTATTAATAACTGTGATGTGTATTGAAGCTCTCAGATTTAGAAATATAGAATTCGGAGTTATGTGTTTAGCTTTAGGTTTATGTAATGAAATGATTTATTTGTATTTTTGGCTAATTGTACAAAGTAAACTACAAGTTACGAAGTGTGAAGGAAATGTTATTCATATTAACGTAACTCTTGTTTGATTTGAAACTATTGTTTTAATTTATTTTGGTTTGCTGATACATACATACCCACGTTTCAATGAATGTCAACAATATTTAAAGGAACATTAGGATAAAACTATTAAGTGATTAGCTGTTTGGATTTTAAAGTAAATCGTGTCAAAAAATTCGGTAGATGACTGACTTTTCATTTTATTAAATCAGCTTGGCGGAAGAAATAAGTTATGGCGGCTGTACTTCCCTGGACGAACTTTCTTATGGAGCTCTATAAAACGATTGTAAAA